ATAGTAGCGTAGTCAGCCAATTAACATCGTTGACTGGTCAAACCATAATGTCAGAAATGGCTTTAGCTGGAGCTCTGTTGAACCTTCGACAGCCCTTCGAACTCGACTTGAAGCTCAGTGAACCACGAGTAAGACTAGGCACAATCGATCATTTTTCAGATAAGTTCAAACATCCACATTGCTCGAGAAATACAAAAACTTGTCCCAAAACAACTGTACTTATTTACTGCGAACTAGGCATTGCACTGTCAACCATGGTACCAAAGCGAAAGCAGAAGCATAACTTACTGTCCCCGCGTGCCCGTCGTACTGCCGGCTCGATTTTGTAACCTAACTAACAATCAAGCAGGCCATTCCTCCATCCTAAGGCGCGCAGGTGAGTCATGCGGCTGAATCCTGGTTGCACAGCGATCTCATACTCACGCTAGGTCCACAAACCGTGCCTGTGCAGCAATCTGCAGTTGTTTTGCAAGGTGTGTTCAAACAATATGCACTGACATGCATAGATGCTGTCAAAGCAGCAACAATGGCGACGAAGGAGAAACGCATTTTCTGTGCGAGGTGATATAGAATCTTCTGAGGGGATCTTGAATAGTATCTCTGAGGATGGGGGGACACTGTAGGACGACGGTCAGCTTTTATATCCTGCATACACTTATGAGCACGATTCTGATCAATCCGGCAGAATTGTTATTGCTCAGGTCAGACGGCAGAAATTTCGGTAGAACCTGCAGGAGCGTGTTCAATTACGACCCTTGTATCACAACCTGCCATCACTGGGGCCATAGTTAGTATAGTAGTTCACAATAGTGAGTTCTCTCGCATAAATCACTCATTCGAACCGTCTCTGGCAGCACTCCACTCTTTGCAATTCAGAAATACAAATTTCTCCACTCACGCTATTTGCGTAGTCTTGAAAGAACAACCGGTTCATTCTGCGACCTGGTGTCCACTGCCTCACTCATTTTGGCCGGCCGTGCCTGCCGCGGACGTGACATGACTTGCAATACCAGCTTCACTAAAGATTAATTAACATTGATCTGTAAGTATCCGCGAGAATGATGCTAACTTCTTGACTCTGTCGTTGCACTGGCGGGGTCAGTGCAGGTTCAAATGATGAAGCGAAGAGTGAGGTGTTAGGACGAGAGGCCGATGATTCGAGCGAGGGTTCTGTGGTTACGAAGAAGGGAATTGCCGATGCCTGCAGGCAGGTTATGATTCAATGGTCGTTGTTAATCGAATACGCTCCCGCAGGTTCTGCCGAAATTTGTTCCAACAGTTCTGCCAAATCAATGAGAGTCGTGCCCATGAGCATATGCAGGATATAAAAGCTGGTCGTTGTCCTACAGTGTTCCCTCATCCTCAGAGATCATTCGAGATTCCCTTCAGAAGAACCCATATCACCTCGCACAGAAAATGCGTTTCTCCATACTCGCCGTTATCGTTGCTTTGACAGCATCTATGTCTGTCAGTGCATGTGCGAGCGAAGGAACAACATGCAAAGTAGACGACTGCTGCGATGAGTTGATTTGTGTGAGCAGGTCGCTGTGCAACAAAGATTTAACCACATGACTCACCTGCGCCCCTTAGAATAACGATGCGATCTGCGAGCCGGTTACCCTGCTGCTGGCAGCCTGAGTGGCACGTCGTGATAGTGAGTCATGTTTCGGCTTTCGCTTTGTGATGAGTGCAATTTACCTAGTTCGGAGTTAATCAGTACGGTTGTTCTTGGAAAAAATTCGTACTGCTCGAGAAATGTGGATGTTGGAATGTATCTAAAATGATCGACCGTGCCTAGGCACAGAAAATGCGTTTTTTTCGTCCTCGCGGCTGTTGTTGCTTTGACAGTATCTATGTCTGTCACTGCATGTAAGACTGAGACGGAGATTTCCACATCAGACTTTGATTGCTGCCAGAAGTTGATTTGTGCCGATAATGATGCAAGTATGAGCAGGTCGCTGTGCAACCAGAATTCAATCACATGACTCATCTGTGCACTTAGAGTGCAGGTTACACCTGCTAGTCGATGTAGTTTGAAAATTGAGCCAACAACCTGAGCGGCACATCGCTACAGCGAGTCATGTTTATGCTTTCGCTTTGGTATCATGGTTGATGGTGTAATACCTTAGTTCGGAGCCAATAAGTACAGTTGGTTTTGGACAAATTTTCGTACTGCTCGAGCAATCAATGTGGATGTTTGAACTTGTCTAAAAATAACGAACTCTTGCCTAATCTTGTCCGGAGTCCACTATGCTCAAGTTCGAGAGGCTGCCGAAATGAGCAATCATCACTGTTGACGATTAATATTGGGAGGCCATATGGATACGGAACGCACTGCGCAGACATTTCGGGTTCTGGTGTGGCCAAGTGAACTTGGAGGTAGAAACAGATAAAAGCTTAGAAAGAAGAGAGCGAAGACAGGTTTTCCCTGAGTTGAGCGGGGGCTACAGGTAGTCTTATGGAAATTTCAACTCATGAAAAGGAAATGCTGAGCGAATGGCTGCTCTCGGATAAGTTTATCCGTACGTAAGCCCGTCAGAGACGGGATCTGTAGACCGGGTGTGCCGAGGGGAGAAAGAAGAACCCCCATCCCAAGGCACAGGAAGGCATGACTTGAAGCTGTGAGGGAGACGGAGTGCTAAACAAATCACGATGAGTAGAAATCATAGAATGACAATGATAATACTCATCCACGCCATCATGGGCCCTGTTTGAGACCTCCGTCATGATATTCCTAGCGCACTGTGTTAGTCACGTATCCTGAGAGTGAAGGTAAACTACTGACCTCCTTGATGATAATTGACGTGCAAATGCACTTGTTAGTTCGCGCTGGTGACCATGCGACGGTAAACGTGACATCAGGAATGATGCCATAGCCTTGATAGGTGGACCACCAGGCGATGGATTGGTCGGTGCTAACTGCGGACGATTCATGGAGCGCACAACAAAATTTTGCCCTTGTAAAGGTAATAACCGGATATTACAGATGGGCTGCTCCTTCGAAGTTTAGAGCAGCCTTCACAGCAAGAAAAAGAACTATACTTGTTGTGAAAGCGTAATTCCGGGCGTGCATTTAGAAGTAGATATTCGGACACCATCGGAAGTCAGTTTGAGTCATCACAATGAGTTTGAGAATTTTAGCCGCTACCATGTTTGGAACGCCATGGCCATTGAATCAACACATTACGAAGGTATCTCGGATCTAGTGTTGTTGTCGAGGTGAGGTCAACTCGAGCTAAACTTGGCTCGGCTCGAAAATGACCCAATTCGTTTCAACTCGAACCTTCCGAACTAAATCGAGTTACAACTCGTTGGACTCGCGAGTTAGAAACGAGTTCATGTAGTTTACATCCATACATCGTAATCCCCTGTACTACATCATAATGGTCATTATTGTTGTATCCCTTCATTGCAATTGGCACACAGATTGGCAGCTAAGTTCCCCTCCAACATCCAAAAGAACTTGGAATCTGGATTGTCACTCTCGGCTATTGAGACCCTGACTGGACACTGAAATTTTCAATTGAAGTAAAACACTTAAATATCATCGTGGCTCAGAGCTATTGCTGCGAGCAACATTTTACCCCATGTCGTTGCAGCAGAATCCTGGCCCATGGTCATTTCCTCCGAGTCATCTCAGCCCTGAACACTTGAATTCTCAACAAGGTACATTGTCTCTAGGGTTCCGGGAATTAGGGTATGGCGTCTGGTTGACCGGCAAATTAGCATGGCCCTCGCAGAGGGCCAAATTTACAGGTGTGAATGACACAAAATTCACGCAAATTTACTGACGGGGGTTCGGGGGCAGAGCCCCCGAAAGCTCTAGCTTTTTGACGCTAATTTGCGTTAATTTGCAGGTGAATTTCACCTAATTGACTGTAATCTACTCCGCAGACTCCCATATCTCCCACTCGCCATCCATCGGTGTCGTCGACGAAGTCACAGCGTCAGCTGTCAGCTTGGATGGAGGTCCGTGACTCACGGGAGCCGGCTCAAGCTGCACAGGCTGGTCTGAGAGAAGATCGAGAAGGAATCCTGATGCTAAGTTAATGTGATCACCAACATCGAACCTGTCGCTGTCTTCTCCATCGAGGCTCACATCATCATCATCATCAGGCCACTGTCCCTCACTGGTCTCGTCATCTGAGTCGCTCATGGCAATATCTCGTTTCATAGGTGGTCGGGCAGGTGGTGGAACAACTGTTGGCTTCTCAGGTCGTTGATCACCAAGGATGTCATATTTAAGCTTTTCAGGTGTTCTGGGTCCAGTAGACACAAATTCACCCAAATTGACACTATGTTTTCGAGGGTGTGAAATTGACACTGTCATTCACAGTAAATTTGCAGGGTAAATTTGCCGGGCTAATTTGCCTGGTGCAAATTCCCGGAACCCTAATTGTCTCCACTCCAGACTCCAAGTGGTGCCTTCCGAGCGCATATTTTCATCAAGCAAAGAGACCTGCACTCACGGCGCAGCAACCTATCTCCGACCATACTCGAGGCGCTACAAGTTCTGAAGTTCACTTACAAGCAAGACCGCCTCAATTTTACGGAGGACCTGGTAGCTAATGAGCAGGACTACACGATATCTGGACCTGTGACTTCAAGAGCAGTTGACGAGCTAATGGCTGCCGGGAATCTTCGCGAGCTCGATCAGTTGCTTGCAAATGCAAGGGAAATCGATTGTAACTAGTTTATTGTAGTTTCTGTCTGCTCATCGTGTATCTACTTGCAAAAATCGTCGTTGGCAGTATCTAGCATCCCTGGCTTCTCATTGGCTGAACCACCGGTTCGCATAATTCCGAACTCGTTAGTAACTCGCGAGTCGAACGAGGCGCAAAACTCGTTGCAACTCGTAAGTATCGAACTGTGTCGAGGTACCACAAATTTCCACCTCGATTCGATTCGATTCGCCTCGCGGCAACACTACTCGGATCCGGTGTAAGAGCATTGGCACTCGGACACCACGTACCCGATTTACGTCAGTATTACACGAGATTACACGTCAGCCACACGCGATTTGAGTCGGATCCCGGCCCCGGCATGCATTTTGTAAACTCCTCACCATCATCAGCGCTGCAGCTATCACTACAATAACCCCGGACTTTGTGACAGATTTGCCCCCAGACTGTCTACAATGTTAGCTAGACTTTCTGTACACTGTGTGCGGTGTAAGCCGCTATCAGCGACAATCTCCAAGTTTTGGACCGTCATGCATGCTGTACTCCAATCACAGCATAGTGCGACAACCACAACATAGTGCCATGCATCAATGTATGATCATCTATGCTCATCCATCAGTTTGAGCGCCTCATGTTTCTTCGTACTCACAACCGTTGCTACATGCCATCTACGATCACAGCGGTGCACGGTGTTGCAGTGCATACTGCTGCAGTACTTATTCTCAACAGCCTACCATTTATCTGTTGTATCACTCGAAAATGTCAGCCTCAGACACCTTCGGTTTGCAATTAGCCAAGGTAATTCACTTGTGCTTGTTCAGTCCGACTCCTCTAATGCCTCTGATTACCAAAGTATACTAACGGTAAGGTTGGCCGATGACGGTGCTTGTCATTATTCACAACTCTCTTTTACTCTGAAGTCGCTGCATCAGCAATCCTAGTAAGTCGTATCGTTTCTGTCTCATTATAACGAGTCTCATGTATCATTAGATTTATGATTACTTTATCACGTCACATTCTGAAGTCAGTGGAACCAGCCATTCATGTCTCGGCGCTAATTTTTCTTGTAGATCCAATGGACCTGGGGACGGAAGTGGGGAATTATTCGTATTACCTTCACACTTTCACGATATGTACCTTTTGCTGGTGCATTTATGACCTCGTATTGTGAGATACAGTGGTGTGCGCTACAATGCAAAGCTGATTATTAACCAGCCGCTGTCAAGACATGGGGCACCCAAGATGTGAGCACACCCTTTATCAGCGCAGTATCAACTACAACTCACATTGAAATATAGTGTGCACCTTTTAACGATGCTGTAAATGGTTGGTCCAGACGGCTTTCATGATGTAACTTTACGACGACATTTCACAGGCTTACATTTCTTGGGCGTCATTGCCTCGGAAGGTTGGTTTTGGCATACCATGTTACAGCGTGCATTCACATTCATGACAGGTCTGTTGATTGCCAGGGTTCATGCCTTCTCCGGCAACAAAAAGGCTAATCTTATTGTTCTTTTATCATTTGGCTTGGTACAATGATATCTCTATTTCCGTGTGCATCACTAACCCATATAGTGCAGACCATCATGGTGACGTGTGTGATCCTAAGTGCTGCCCCTATCCATTTCAGCAACCCAGAAGGCGAGGTTCTAAAGTTCGCCTCTTAGTCTTAATATTCATTTTTTTCCAGCTGGCCCGCCTTGCACGTTTGAGGGTGCTCGTAGCAGTGCTTTTGGGTATGGACTCTTAATGTTCTTCGAGATCGGTGAGGTGGTGATTAATTCAAATATCTTATTCTGACGATTCACTTCTAGTTCTCATGCTCGCCACTGCATTTGTGAAATATCGGCGCTATTTTGGTTTTCATAACACGTTAATAAGGAGTGTCTACGGCGATGGACTCCTCTACATGTCCTGCATCACAAGTATTAACACCGTTGCTATTATGATTTTAGTGCTGATATCTCTATAGTGATATCCACTCTTAATGTGATTGTAATCTCTGTGTTCCCCGTGAGTTCTTTCCTGATTACGTAGGCTCCGAAGAACTGAGCAGATCCTTAGCTCTCATACAGCGAGATGTTAAACGCGTTAGCCTGGTCGTATATATATGTCGTCAAAAGCTCATATTCGACATTTTAGACCTCAGATTGTTTTGCACAGCGTTCTTGCATCGCGAATACTATTTAGTCTTCAAGCGGACAGGGAGCAATCGGTCATCCCCACATACCTATCGACGAATGCGCCGGAAATGCAATCGATTCCAGATGGGTTTCAAGCGTGGTATGAAGGCAGGGAGACATTTACTGGTGCTGGCCAGCCAGATCAAGCTTAGACGTGCTAATAATTTTGTGAGTCCCATGGATAGCATTGGCATTTTAGTTAGCTGACTATGAATTGCTCGTCTCCTAGTTTCTCTTTGTCGTTGTAACGGGGATGTTGATTGCAGATAGTAGCGTAGTCAGCCAATTAGCATCGTTGACCGGTCAAACCATAATGCCAGAAATGGCTTTAGCTGGAGCTCCGGCAACACTTGAACTTTCGACAGCCCCTCGAACTCAACTTGAAGCTCAGTGAACTACGAGTAGGACTAGGCACAATCGATCATTTCAAACATCCACATTGCTCGAGCAATACGAAAACTTGTCCCAAAACAACGTACTGATTGACTGCGAACTAGGCATTGCACTGTCAACCATGGTACGAAAGCGAAAGCAGAAGCATTACTTACTGTCCCCACGTGCCCTTCGTACTGCCGGCTCAATTCTGAACCTGCAGGCAGCTCATAACTCCATTCTAAGGCGCGCAGGTGAGTCATGCGGTTGAATCCCGGTTGCACAGCGACCTGCTCATACTCACGCTAAGTCCACAAACCATGTTTGTGCAGCAATCTGAAGTTGATTTGCATTGTATGTTACACTGTGCACTGACATGCATAGATGCTGTCAAAGCAGCAACAATGGCGATGAAGGAGAAATGCATTTTCTGTGCGAGGTGATATGGAATCTTCTGAGGGGATCTTGAATGGTATCTCTGAGGATGGGGGAACACTGTAGGACGACGGCCAGCTTTTATATCCTACATACACGATTCTGATCAATTTGGCAGAATTGTTATTGCCGTCAGGTCAGATGGCAGAAATTTCGGTAGAACCTGCAGGTCCCAGGAGCATGTTCAATTACGACCCTTGTATCATAACCTGCCATCACTGGGGCCATAGTTATAGTTCATGATAGTGAGTTCACTCGCGTAAATCGCTCATTTGAACCGTCTCTGGCAGCATTCCACTCTTTACAATTCGGAAATTCAAACTCACGCTATTTGCGTGCTGCTAGTCTTGAAAGAACAACGGCCGGTTCATTCTGCGACCTGGCGTCCTGCCTCACTCATTTCGGCCGGCCGTGCTTGCCGCGGACGTGACATGACTTGCAATACCAACTTCACTAAAGCTAAGTTCGCTGATTGAGACTTAAGGCGACCCAAGGCCGCGTCACTGACGCGGCGATGGTAAGGTTTACGCGACACCGGCACGACGAAGCTTGATGCGGCACGGTATGGGCGAGACTTGACGCGCAAATGATGGTGGGTTGCGTCTGTGGCTGGTATTGTGAAACGTTCCTAATGATAACATCAATGTGGCCTCGTTCCAACCATCATGCTCGTGACTGTAGTTAGACGACCTCAATCAGATCTAGATTGGCCTGTGGTATTCTTCCTTGTTTAACCTGATCGAACTCATCGAAATCAAAAGTATTTGTTGGAGCATTTTGACTTCACTAATGCTTTGAACTTCTTTAGTAGTCTTCAACTCTTCGGGAGCCAGAAATTCGGCAGCAACGTGGTCAAGGGAGATACTACCCTCTGGACCAAAAAGAAGGTCATCCACATCACCAATCTTGATCGAGAGCGGAGGTATCCACGCGAAAGACGCTTGAAGATCCTGTGCAGTCTCAATAGCAATCCCCACTTGTTCACGAGTGTGCATGTGAGCATGTCGACGGCAGGCGGACTTCCCAGCTTCCACAGCCGTTGTGTTGTCGAAGGTTTGGCTGAGTGTTTCAAATGTGTTCAGCCCCACTGGTAATGGCAGGTTATGATACAATGGTCGTAATCAATTGAACACGCTCCTGCAGGTTCTACCGAAATTTCTGGGAATAACAAATCCTGCTAAATCAATCATAATCGTGTCTATTAGAATATGGAGGATATCAAAGCTGGCCGTCGTTCCTCTAGCATCTCGCATAGAAAATGTGTTTCTCCTTCCTCGCCGTTGTCGTTGCTTTGATAGCATCTATATCTGACAGCGCATGTGGCGCAACAACATGCAAAACAGATGCAGATTGCTGCGCAAAGCTATGTTTGTAGAATTGATGTGAGTACTATGAGCAGGTCGCATGATTCAGCCACTGGTGGCCGACTTTGCCACTAAGCCCCACAAATTTTCAAAGTCCGATCAGGAGTATTGTATACCTCTAGTTTCCCTGGTACGGCAGAATTCAGGAGGATGGAAAAACCTCGCAGAACTCCAGGGTACCTGAGACTCGCAGGGATGTAATTTAGATCTTGTAACACAATTTGCATTCAATAGAACATGAAAACCGACGTCCCTGAAGTAAGATGGTCATGGTGTACGCTCAGGCTGGCCCAGCTTCGTGCGAGTCAAATCACCCTCTAGCTCTCCACACTACCCTTTGATAGAAAGTACTGCGTATAGTTGCTGCCTCCTTTTGTCACCTTTATCATGACACACGCTCACATATGAACTTGCGCTTCGACTATATACCATAAAATAACACATCTGTCATGAATTACAATCAGCAATAACACTAGTGGTGTCTCGGAGTCGTTGGCTCACACAAAGAAACATATCCACCAGCTAGCGCTGCCTTCTAGTCTAACATTAACGTTAGACGAACAGATTCAAAATTATTTGCGCAGCCGAGTACGTTCCCTACCAATATTAATCATCATCAACAATGATCGCTCGTTTCGACAGCCTCTCGAACTCAAGCTTAGTGGACCACAAGAAAAACCAGACACGGTCGATCATTTTCAGATAAGTTCAAACATTTGCATTGTTCGAGCAGTACGAAAACTTGTCCAAAAGCACTGACTGTACTGATCTACTCCAAACAAGTTGCACCATCAACTATGATACCAAAGCGAAAGCAGAAACATGACTCACTGTTGCGACGTGCTTCTCGGGCTATCGGCTCGATTCTCAACCTACTGGCAGGTCATCTGTTTATTCTAAAGCGCGCAGGTGAGTCATGTGGTTGAATCCTGGTTGCACCGCGACCTGCTCATACTCACGTCATCAAGTTCACAAGTCCAGTTCAAGCAGCAATCTTCATCATGCTTGCAAGGTGTTTCGCTACATGCGGCGTTGACAGACATAGATGCTGTCAAGGCAACAACAACAGCGAGGAGGGAGAAACGCATTTTCTGTGCGAGGTGATATGGATCTTCTGAGGGGATCTAGAATGATATCTCTGAGGATCGGGGAACACTGTAGGACGAAGGCCAGCTTTTATACTAATGGGCACCATTCTGATCGATTTGACAGAATTTGTTATCGCTATTAGATGGCAGAAATTTCGGTAGAACCTGCAGGAGCGTGTTCAATTGATTATGACCATTGTATTGCAACCTGCTGACAGGCATCGATGACTTACTCTTCGTCACCACAGAACGCTCGCTCGAATCCCGAGTATCTCATTCCGATCTTCCATCTGCCAATGCGTTAGTAAAAACTACACCTAGCAACGCATTGAAAAAAAACTATATAGAAAAGGAAAGAAGACGACTCACATCAAAGACAATACATTCCCCACCTTTCCTCCCACCTTTCCTCCCACCTTTCCTCCACCTCCTTACACACCTCCACATCACCCTGATCCGGTTTGCCGGCGAACGCTATATTCATCATCGTAGGATTCACGATTGATTTATTGAGGGTCTGCGTCATGGTGCCGTCAGGGAATGAAGGGCCACTGAGGATGTGTCTATACTTTTTGGGTGCACGGTGGTACATTTCTCAGGGTGAGAGGAAGTAGAAACAAGATCTATCAAGCGCTGTTTGAGTGAGTGTGAGTTGGATTCGGTCACCGGGAGGGAGGAGGAACGTGCATTTTCCCTCGACAACCTTGCTCCTCATGTCTGTGGAGAGGCCCTAAGGGGCTGATTTAGCGAGGATGTAGTTGTATTGTGGCCTTCGTGAGCGAGCTGGATTACTTGCAGACGTGCAGGGTTTACACCCCAGAAAGGAGTGAGATCAAGGTTGATCTGGTCGTATTCCTCTGAGAGCTGAATGTTGTGCTCTTGGATGTAAGCCCGCCTGCTGGGATTTAGAGCAAGGATTGAAGGGATGAGAGTAACGTACCATCTATCGAAGCTGGGTGGAGGTGCTCTTGAGTATCTGCGGTGGTACTCACGGACTGCTTCGGGTAGTGTTTTACTCGAGGGGTGTGCACTAAAGGTAGAGATAATGAATGGCACAACCCGAGACCTTCATTACCAGTGCTGATGGCTACGACATTCATTAGAATGAGGTTCGAAAACCAAAGGACGGAGCTCCAGAACCTAGTACTGCATGCCGACTCACGAATCACGAGACCTGGGGCAATGATTAACGGATCGTGAGCTGCCCAGTGCCCTAAAACAGCTTTATGACCCTGAGAAATGGCGGGAGGTTCTGCAGGTGAGGAATTGAAGGCAATCATCATCAGCAAATTAGGGAGTCAAGCAGAACCAGAGCACGGCAGCTCCACTGAGCAAATTCTGTTTCCGAGCTGTGCTGTAGTGAGTTCGCTGACAATAGCTCGTTCTGCATCAAGCATCACCGTGCCGGTGTCACGTAAGCCTTACCAAGGCTGCATCACTGACACGGCCTTGGGTCGCCTCAAAACTCAATTAGCGAAGCTAGCCAGAAGTGCAAACTGAATACAAAGATGAATCTTCAGTGAAGCTGCCAGTGAAACAGCCGTGTGACTTCCGCGGCAGACACGGCCGGTAGAAACGAGGCAGGGGTCACAGAATAAAACGGCTGTTCTTTACTAACGGCACGCAAATAGCATAGATGGAGCAATTTATATTTCCAAATTACAGTGTAAAGTGCTGTCAAGAGATGGATTCAGAGACGGTTCACAAATCAGTAATTCGTACGGGAGAACCCACATATCATGAACTATACTCCTAACACCACAGGATTCCAGGAACGGTTCTGATACAATGGTCGTGATCAATTGTACACACTCCTGCAGGTTCTACCGAAATTCTGCCATCTGACAGCAATAACAAACTCTGCCAAATCGATCGGAATCGTGCCCATTAGTATACGCAGAATATAAAAGTTGACTGTTGTCGTACCTCGCACAGAAAATGCGTTTCTCTTTCCTCGCTGTTGTTGCTGCTTTGACAGCGTCTATATAGTTTGTCAATGCATGTACCACAACAAGTTGCGTACGGTAGTAAATGCAGATTGCTGCTATGACATGGTTTGTGAACCTGACGTGAGTATGAGCAGGTCGTTGTGCAACCAAAATTCAACCACATAACTCACTCGCACACCTTAGAATACAGGAGCCAAAGTCTGCATGACGATCCAAAATTGAGCCGGTAGCACGAGTAGCACGTCGCGACACGTATTGTTAGGCTCAACCAACCTGGCTTATATAAGGATGCTCGATAGGGAGAAATTGCAGATGTACATCACAGCAATTCTCCAACAGCAATTTTTCTTCCCCATAGCATTGTCCGAACGGTCATGTTTGAACTCACTGGTGCTTACATTTCCTCCATATTAGTCATGATCATCCCACTTCCGCATTCACCAGGCTGTCCTTCCTCATTGTTCCTCAGCAAGCTGCGCCGGCACCGTATCACGCTTCCTTGTTTCGTGGCCCTCTCGAATCTCGAATCTCGACTCAGCCATCACCCTTCAACACTGTCTTCACACTGCCAAACGAGCCTTGGTGTCACTGGCTCTTTCGAGCCACTCCCATTTACTATGCGTAACTCCTTGCCCTTAAAGGGACAGAGCCTCATATCGCGCGCCAAACCAACTTACACCGCAAGTCTCAAACTCGTGCTTTATTTTACACCCAACCTCCTCATTCAGATTTTATCATGACACCGGAGTGGCGAGGCTGCCTCACGGGTTGGACTGGCTGGTGTTTCTCGCCGCGGGGTTCGTCAGCTTGCGGGTGAGCGGCAATCTCGCCAAAACCCGATCCGAGCTAACGCTCGGTCACAGCCCAACCACTGTTTGTATGACCTCATTGTGTCTCTGCGATAGACGAAGCTGGACCTGTGAGCTCTTTCCTGATTACGTAGGCTTCGAAGAACTGAGCGGATCCTTAGCTCTCATACAGCGAGACGTTAAACGCGTTAGCCTGGTCATATATATATGTCATCAAAAGCTCATATTCATCATTTTAGACCCCAGATTGTTGTGCACAGCGTTCTCACTTCGCGAATACTATTTAGTCTTCAAGCGAACAAGGAGCAATCGGTCAACCTATCGACGAATGCACCGGAAATGGAATCGCTTCCAGATGGGTTTCAAGCGTGGGGCAAAGGCAGGAAGACATTTACTGGTGCTGGTGAACCAGATCAAGCGTAGACGTGCTACTAATTTTGTGAGTCCCATGGATAGCATTGTCATTTTAGTTGGCTGACTATGAATTGCTCGTCTCCTAGTTTCTCTTTGTCGTTGTAACGGGATGTCGATTGCAGTGGTCCATGGAAAGGATAGTAGCGTAGTCAGCCAATTAACATCGTTTACCGGTCAAACCATAATGTCAGAAACGGCTTTAGCTGGAGCTCTGTTGAACCTTCGATAGCCCCTCGAACTCGACTTGAAGCTCAGTGAACCATGAGTAAGACTAGACACAATCGATCATTTTTCAGATAAGTGCAAACATCCACATTGCTCGAGCAATACGAAAACTTGTCCCAAAACAACTGTACTGATTGACTGCGAACTAGGCATTACACTGTCAACCATGGTACCAAAGCGAAAGCAGAAGCATAACTTACTGTCCCCACGTGCCCTTCGCACTGCCGGCTCAATTTTGAACCGCAAAGCAGGTCATAACTCCATTCTAAGGCGCGCAGGTGAGTCATGCCGTTGAATCCTGGTTGCACAGCGACCTGCTCATACTCACGTCAGATCCACAAACCATGTTTGTTCAGCAATCTGCAGTTGTTTTGCAATATCTATTACACTGTGCACTGATATGCATAGATGCTGTCAAAGCAGCAGCAATGGCGACGAAGGAGAAACGCATTTTCTGTGCGAGGTGATATGGAATCTTCCGAGGGGATCTTGAATACTATCTGAGGATGGGGGAACACTGTAGGACGACGGCCAGCTTTTATATCCTGCATACACCTATGGGCACGATTCTGATCAATTTGGCAGAATTGTTATTGCTCAGGTCAAACGGCAGAGATTTCGGTAGAACCTGCAGGAGTGTGTTCAATTACGACCCTTGTAATCCTAACCTGCCATTAAGTACCGGGGCCATAGTTAGTATAGTAGTTCATGATAGTGAGTTCTCTCGCACAAATCACTCATTTGAACCGTCTCTGGCAGCACTCCACTCATTTTAGCCGGCCGTGCCTGCCGCGGACGTGACATACCAGCTTCACTAAAGATTAATTAATACTGATCCTTGTACTCAGTTTACACTGCTAGCTAGCTTCGCTGACTGAGACTTAAGGTGGCCCAAGGCTGCGTCACTGACGCGGCCTTGGTAAGGTTTACGCGACACCGGCACGATATGGGCGAGACTTGACGCGCAAATGATGGTGGGTTGCGTCTGTGCCGGGTATTGTGAAACGTTCCTAATGATAACATCAATGTTGCCTCGTTCCAACCATCATGCATCATCATGCTTGTGACTGTAGTTAGACAACCTCAATCTAATCTAGAATGGCCTGTGGTATTATTCCTTGTTTAACCTGATCAGACTCATCGAAATCAAAAGTATTCTTTGGAGCATTTTGAATTCACTAATGCTTTGAACTTCTTTCGTCGTCTTCAACTCCTCGGGAGCCAGAAATTCGGCAGCAACGTGGTCAGGGGAGATACTACTCTCTGGACCAAAAAGAAGGTCGTCCACATCACGTCGAGAGCGAAGGTATCCACGCGAAAGACGCTTAAAGATCCTGTGCAGTCTCAATAGCACTCCCCACTTGTTCACGAATGTGCATGTGAGCATGTCGACGGCAGGTGGACTGCCCAGCTTCCACAGCTTCTATGACACTGTTGTCGAACATTTGGCCTAATTTTGCTGAGTGTTTCAAATGTGTTCAGTCCCGCTGGTAATGGCAGGTTATGATACAATGCCATGGTCGTAATCAATTGAATACGCTATTGCAGGTTCTACCGAAATTGCTGCCATCTGACAGCAATAACAAATTCTGCTAAATCAATCAGAATTGGAATACGGAGGATATAAAAGCTGGCCGTCGTTCCCTCATCCTCAGAGATATTATTTGAGATCTCCCTTAGTAGAAGATTCCGTATCACCTCGCATAGAAAATGCGTTTCTCCATCCTCGCCGTTGTCGTTGCTTTGACCGCATCTATATCTGTCAGCGCATGTGGCGCATCAACATGCACAACAGCAGATTGCTGCGCAAAGCTATATGTTTGTAGATTGATGTGAGTACTATGAGTAGGTCGCGTGATTCAAACGCATAGTGGATGTTTGGTTATCTTTAATTACACTTTGACTTTGCCGCTAAGCCGCACAAATTTTCAAAATCCGATCAGGAGTATTGTCATTTATTTGTGATGTATACCCGGCAGAACTCAGGAGGGAGGATGGAAGAACCTCGCAGAACTCCAGGGTACCTGAGACCCGCAGGGATGTAATTGAATTCAATAGAACACGAAAACCGACGTCTCTGAAGTAAGATGATCATGAACTCACGGTGTACGCTGGAACTTCGTGCGAGCCTCAGTCAGGTACTGTGTCAATCAATTCTGAAATACACCTACTCAAGATCTTTGCTGTGATGATCCTCTCTAGACATGCAGACAAAGTAATAGAACGCACATTCTCCTCTTTGAGTCATAACTCTACCCGTAGTAAATGCAGATTGCTGCTATGACATGGTTTGTGAACCTGACGTGAGTATAAGCAGGTCGTTGTGTAACCAAAATTCAACCACATAACTCACTCGCGCGCCTTAAAATACAGGAGCTAAGGTCTGCATGACAATCCAAAATTGAGCTGGTACCACGAGTAGCACGTCGCGACATGTCAGGCTCGCTGGATGCTCGAACTGGTCGATCTCGGAGAGAAGAAGCACGGAGTTTAGAAACTTGCAGTTGCCGATTGTGCCGGCGGTACTCCATCACGAATGTAATTCATGATAGTCTCTGTATCTATTATTCGTGCATATATTCAATGATTGTGGCCTTGCAACTATAGATTGTCAGACCAACTTTGTTCCACCAATGTCCCTTGCTGCGCTAGATGCACTTGACAACTTTTCGACGGATTTCATTGATCCTTTAGATGTATCCCAGCGCCAGAACATTGTGCCCTACTCGATTTTCTTGCAAAAGGAACGAACCAACTAAAGTTGTTTCAACTCAGGTGCCTCATATCATTGCTCGCATCAAGACATGTTGTTGTCAGAGCTGTGGCAGGCACTGGCAATGATCCTTTCCTTGCTGTTCTCTCCTGACAAGATATCAATCGCCCTCACACCATTACAGGCATACATCATTGCTTCGGAAGGACTTACGATATCACGTCGGTAGTTCGGTCTACGTTGTATTGTCATCTATCGGCATTAGTCTCTCGACACCCGCAGAAACAAACAAACTCTCCATCTTCGTCGCATACATTGCAAACCGTCTCTCATCCTGCTCGTCATCCCATCTTGCAAGCACCCTACCCAACCCCTCATTCGCCCTCACGATATCCCCCCTGAGACCTCTCGCATACTCCATCTCATAGCGACCCAAGAAATGAAAATTGATCAAGTCGGAAGGGTTGTCTGATTCTGAGCGCTGTTCTGCTAGGGTACGGAGGCGGCTTTGCTCGTATACGAGTCTGGCTTTGGGAGTAGGGGGTATCTGGATCAGCCCTGACCATGCAAGGGAGAGCCAGGTGCTGGTGAGGTCTGCGAGGGTGAAGGGGATAAAGGAGGTAGGAGCGCCTATGAATGCGAGGGTGGGGTTGTAGGCGTAGAGTATTTGGTTGTGGAGGGAAGGGATACGGGTGGGTACTGTTGTGCGTGATGTTAATGGTACAAGTGTGCGAGCGCGGGTCTGGGGGTCTGGATCTGGGCGAAGGACGCGAAGGTAGGGTACATGCGGATAGTAGCCTGTTCCGAATAAGACGATGTCGATATTTTCAATGCCGGTTCCGTCTTGAACATGCGCAGTTATTTTGTTGTTGGTGGTGGTAGTGTAGCGACTTATGGGGCCGATGTCTTGGATGCGGGTGTCAGGTAAGGAGGGAAATACAGAAATTCGGCGGGTGGATCTGTATATTGGTGTTTGGGCTATGGGCGCGAGCTGAGCGGCCATTTCGTTTGCAGAATTTGCATTTCCGATGACGAGGACACACTACAGGAATGTTAGTTTTTCATGGGATATAAGAAGGGAAAAATTACCTTTCCCTTGTGATCATCATGTGGACCCGTCCAATTGATGGCGTGCTGGACTTTATTGTGTTGTTGCTGCTGCAACTCTCGAAGACCTGGTACATCTGGAAAATGCGGGTTATCAAACCAAACGGTGGCGATAACCACTGCATCCCAAGTTTCTTCCAATACCACATCACCTTTATTCCAATCTTTCATGCGGACCGTCCATCCACCGCCCTCCACCTCCTCCACTCCAGTGACCTCGAAGCTTAAACGTATATGCCCGTTCTCTATGAACGGGCGCGCAAATTCCTTGAGGTAGGTGTTTGTCTCTGCTAACGTAGGGAATGGCTGATGTTCTCTGGGAGGTGCCGGAAAAGGGTGTTCTGAGAAGGAGAGAAACTCGGGTATGACGTTGCCTATGAGACCAGGGTATGCGGGTGTGGACCATCGTGAGCGATAATTTGGGGCGTGGTTTTGATACCTTCAAGGATGGTTTTGTACTGCAGGCTTTAGGTGGGCTAGAGTACGTGATGGACGTACCAGACGCCGCCTATGTCGTCGCGTCTTTCGACGAGCTGGACTTTGGTGAACGTTCCGTGGTGGAGACAGTTACGGAGCGTTATGAGCCCGCATGGTCCTCCACCAATGATGAGCAGGTTCTTTGGTCGGAGAGCCATTTCCATTTCAAGCGCGGAAGTTTCACAGATGGACTGTACAGCGCGTCTCTTGAAAAGTGCCGACACAGCAACATGCATTATGTAATAATCCATGCACCCACTGCCAGGGCCCAGCTTCGAACAACTGCGAGGATTCACCGTACCACTTCGCCACACTTCACCATGCCTCGCATATCAATATATCACCACCAGGACAAACTAGTCAGGCTGTATACCATGCACATGTTCACCGAAACACAGTTTATAATCAAAATTGAGCTTTGTCCGGCTTGACTTTGGCCTTCCTGATTCCTTGCAGTCCTTTTGGTCTTGGTTAGAAGCAGTTTCGCAGCCAAAAACTCGTTGAGCGAAGGCAGCGGAGAATCTGCATCCGTCCTGCTGCCACGGACAGGTACCATAACCTTGAATCGCGTCGGTGTAACGCTCGAGTTGAATGCGTAGTCCAATAGGCGAGTACAATTCAGGGTGAGCAGCAAAGCGATATAATCGGCAAAAAACGCCTCATCAACGCGACTGTCGGAACTCCTTTAAATTACGGTAAAGTTCAAACTTACTTTTAGTTTTTGACGCCTGCAGGGCCTTGATCGAAGGGGCTTTCAATTTTTTTGGAAAACAAGGTGCATATTACTTTCGACTGCTCTCAATTCAAAGTATCTTAAAATGTTGCGTTCAGAGGCCTGGTTGCTGTTCTTGTGAAGACTTACTGCCCTATTCAATTCATGCGGTACGCGTTCGAAAGGAGCACCACACCTTGACCGCGTTCCAGAGCGCCTATTGCGCTCAGACGAAGAAGGTCCCTACTTGCCGCTCAGACACCTCGTGTATGGTGCATTCATACCTGAGGCCCTTCTAGGTTAGTGGATGAAGATAAGAGGGTTAGGCAAAGGGTTTTTTTGCAGGAGGTTCTGATTTCGGAGTGCTTCTTGTGGGAATGGTTTGCCAATAGCCGCTCATATCTGATGTGTTAGTCGTGCTGCTGACCCGTGCACAATGCACAGGACAGGTTGAAGCATGGCGTTCATGAGTACCTTGGTGTGCTGACATGATACCACAACCAGATATAAATTCAGGGGATGAGCTGACTCCAACTCAGCGGTATCATGAAAAACTACACAAAACATTCTAGTGCTCCTCAAGATATAAAAAAGGGTACAGTCTCGCTACGTGTAGTGCCCGATCCCATGTAAGTTCTGTTCATGTCCTCGTCGTTTCCTTGTTTATGCTCTTCCACTGGCAGATACCGACATGCAGCTCCGTCGGGACCATGGCCATGGATGGACTTGGACGCTGACTCTGACTCGACTGATACGACCGATGTGGATCAATCCTGGAAGGGCTACCCTCAGAACCAGTTCAGGAACTGGACTCCAAGACAAGTAGAGGAAAGTAAGATGTTCGAAAAATGTTCCAAGGACCAGTCTAGCACTATTTACTGGATGGATGTGTATAACTCCGAAAACGTCGCCAGGAGGTTTACCATCCCAGATATGGAAAAAGACAACCGTGGCACTACAGTGCCGACTCAGGATCAGGATGAGTTTTGGGATATGTTACAGAAAAACGTGAGTCTTATCTTAAATGTTGTATGCTTGCTAAATAAAATTGGATTTGTAGCGACCAGAGGGGATCCGAGTGCGATCGTTGTTTGTGGATGATTTGACGTCACCGGTCTTGCGCATGCTAGGGACAAGGTATGTGGCGTCTTTTACTCATCTACATGCTCTGAGACCTCATACATAGATACAACATTGAACCGTTCTTTTTCACGTCCTCCCTCAATTGGATACCCTCACGTTATCAGGAAGCGCCTCGTCATAGAGAAGGAGATCGTAAGTCCAAACCTTCCATTTTGAGTCGCATGGCTCATGTGAGTGATAGATATCACTATCACCCTGCCATTTTTACGATCACAAAAGAAATCACCAACTGACCCTAAACTATTGGACTCTAAGACTGGTAAGTGGCTCATCACCTGCCATAGTCATCCGATTTACCTCCGGCAGATACTCTGATCGATATCCAGGCTCCTTTTTCGACAGGCGGTATGTGTATTGATATCCTTACATCAATACATTCACGCTAAAACGTCCCCCATAGATGGCCGTATGCTCTTCATTGATCTCCTCGCAATCCACATGGTCCGCCACGTGAAAGAAAGCACTATCATATCCTATCATCCCGAATCTACAGGGCTGCGAACATCTGGGAAGCACCTCCGCTCGCTCATACAGCTCGTGGGGAAAAGTGTGTACTGGCAAAAAATATTTGACAAGTCCAAAGACCCGACATTTCTCTTCCTCGCATTTTTATGGTATGCGCTATATGAATGGGATGAGTCCCTTGATTCGCTGTACCGCTATGTTAGCGAGCTGGTACGTGGCTCTCGCGCAGTATGGAAGTAATGTTACTCAAGCACATCCAGGAATTACAAGTACTGCATCTGGATAATATCGCACTCACACATGACCTTCATGTTCTTGAAGCGCGTCTTTTACACTATCAATCACTCCTCCATGGCTTCGAGGTATCAGTTAAGTTTATCGAGACGAACCCCAATCCGGCCATGGAGGGTGTTACCGCCGAAGAGCGTATGGAGTCTGATGCACTTATGAAGAAGGAATGCAACAATCTACTCAGCGAAATTGATCGCCTGGAAAGGCGACGGATGATGCTGAGCAGTCGACTGAAGAATGCGATGGAACTTGCCTTTGCGATCGTCAATACTGAGGACAGTAGGCGGATGCAGAGGTTCACATACCTCACGATAGTCTTCCTACCAGCAAGTTTTATTGCGGTAAGTATAGAATTCTTATGGACAGATCCTTTCTGATTGCGTATGTCCTCAGTCTGTCTTTGGGATGAACGTTATAGAGATCGACAATGGGACACAAACACTCGCTCACTATGCGATGGCCACCGTTGTCCTCACTCTTTTAACGATTTACATCATCATCATGCTTCAGAAACAGAACATCGTCCACAGACGCGAGGCGACCTTGCTGCAGCGCGCAGTGTGGCCCATTCATTTACTGTGGTGGATCATTCCCCCTCTACAACATGTGTGGGTGTCACAGTACAAGAAATCGCTAACAGATGACATGGCGTGATGATATGGATCCAAACATATACATACTCACAGTAACATACCCGTAAAATATTTCATGCTACATTCACTGTTTTTTGGCGGAAGGATAATCATAGCGCCTGGAAATCACATCTCCAGCGAGACGGGAAGAACCGACCTCAGGCCAAAACGCTCCTCACAGCCATGATTGTGGAAGGTGTGGAATGTCCCAATCCGATTAGTGGGCTCAAGAGTCAAGAGTTAGAGCACGGCGAGACGGAAAATCGGGTGTGTCGCTACTGTTCGGCTGCCAAGCTGTGGCGACAAGGTACAACAGCAGTGTAACGTAAAAAGACCTCGGAAACCTTGTCAGCTCTGATAATTAGTAAGTAGTACCTCCGGAAAATACTCAAACTCAGATATAGATATCCTATAAATGATTTCAATTGGCTGAGACTTTGCAGGAAAATATATATCGGCTGTATCTGTATCGCCCGAAAGTTGCCCGAAGCGGTCACTACTGCCCAAAATTTACCTATAATTTGGTAGGTTCCCAAATATCAACATTTTCTGGCCGGCCCAAGCCTGAGTCACCCTGCTCCTCCCTGTAGAACTGATATATGTACTACCAACATCAGAGGGATTGCATACTAGCTATAATGCTCTGTGCCTCATTTACAAGAGAAAGGGCGAAAGGACTTGCCATTATGTAAGTCAATGCTTGCTGTGAGCGGTGAACGAGGTCTTCACCTGAGTTTTTGCGTACCTTGGTGTAGGAGCCGAACAATCTCTCCGCTAATAGGTCATTCATCACCGTGGAAAATCAGAGTAACCAGGATTTTCCAACGATACATCCAGCGTGTCGTACAGGTGAGGTCACCGGCACTGCCTTCCACCAAAACTTTTGCACAGGCGATGCGGTTGGCACTGGGCAGGCACCCAATTTGCAATGCGCACGACAGAGGCACATCAGTCACTGTCAGTACTGTCCCTGCAGTCAAGGCAGACGTTCAGCACTGCCATGTTTGTATGTCGAAAAAGTCGCAGCGATGCTTGTATGGACAGTGTGCGACCGCCGCGATACCACTGCTTCACAAGTTCGTCGGTTCAACGTCAGATGATCAACTGGCAATTATAGCGGCTTTGATAATGTTATTAGACCCGAGTCTCGACTCGTGGGCTGTGCGGGTACGGCCTGATGGCCGGAGTCCGTGACACATTTTGACGTCACTTACAGGGCAACAACGTTATCCGAGTCGCCTATTTACCTGCCAATAGTCGCCATAACTTGGACAGGCGCACATATGAATGAATGTTTATCGCCCACGCCAGTGCTACTGGGTATTATAAAACGCGCTTATAACAACGTGGTGGCCGGCGTTTTCTCCATCCTCCATAGTTCAATACAGACTCGAACCTTTCGGGGTTGACAATCTTAAAACCCTCCCTGAGGCACACCTTACTACTGACTAGGCCGTTTGCGTAGATAGGTGGTGCATTCACTAGCGAAGGAAACAATGCAGACGACCAGTCAGGACTTGACAGAAACGTAAGTCATGCTTGCCTATTGTTCATCTTTCCATACTTGATTCCCGTCTTTTCAGGCGTCAAACGATTGTACGTTGTCCTTCATGATGGTCTACCGTGTTGCAGTGGCTGACATGCATATCTTATGATTTAGTATGTTGGGATCGTAGGTTTCACCATATTGATTTGGGATCACCTCGTTACCAGTGGAGATGAGGTATGACATTGGCAATTGTACCAGATTCAGTGAAACTCAACATAATACTCAGATTGAATTTATCTGGCAAGGCCGTAAAGGGATCTGTGAGTGGCATCACCGATATGGATATGCACTAGTATCTGAAAGACTAAAACTGCTTAGTTGTATACTTGTTTCTACTGGTATGTATATGTATTGGCAATATCTGCCAGTTAAAACCTCACATGTATGGGTCTATGTCTCAGAACCGATATCTTACTCCTCTCGGTTTTATCGTTAATCTGGTTGGTGAGTACATCATCTTTGGCTCATAACTTTATCCGTGACCTCTACTACTAGCATACAACCTACCTTCATGGGACTACGCAGTGAGTTGGGGCATTTTATACCCACTACCAGTGATGAATCTTACGAACTTGACTGCAGAGGTCAGCATTGCACTGCACCACTGGATTTAGTTGACATTGTCCAAGTTGCCTGCATTTTGTCCGATACGAAGGGGCCATGACAGCTATAGGAATTGAGATAGTCGGACTAATGATGCTGATAAGGTGAGGTTTGTTCCCTTCTCAGAAAGCATCTACTGATGATGGAGCACACAGGGTCATTGCAATGTATAGATATCAACGGGCTGCCATTGTGCTGGCTGTATTCTTACTACTAGTTTGGATTGTAGTAACTGGGTGGTTATTGAGTCATGGTGGACGTATGTTCTCACCTTCGTCACGCTATGCATGAGTTTATGACAAAGCCCCCAGCCATTATCCACACAGACAACGTTCACTGTGAGATTACTCATTTTTCGCACACGATGACCTTGTTCACATTTTCACAGCTTGTACCATGGTGTTCAATTCGTATGTCCTTATATACAACTGACGTGTATATGTGAGTTCTGAAACACTTGCCAGCGGCAGTATTACTTGGGTTTCGGCCTCGGCTTCAGCCTGGTTGCCTCTCCTCTACGACACGTATATCCTTTGTTTGACATTGAATTGCACGCTTCCTTTGATCCGCAATAAAGAAGCGGGTCATGTTATTCGTACTCTCTTCGCAGACGGATTACTGTATTACAGGTGCGCAAGTCAGGCTCTCCGTGTAGCAGAGCTCACCAGGGATACAGCGTCATCTGCACCGTAAATCTGGTATTGACTGTCATGATCATCAGGGCTCCTGAGGGGGTGAAAAATATCGCCGCACAGTACGCACATCTTCGTTTTTACCCTGATTTTATTTGCTTACAATACGCTATGCACAGGCTTGAACTTGTGTGAGTCCTCATTTTAAACTATGAATAACAACGATTGACCGATATTGTTACATTACAGTCTCACTGTGAGCACGAACTGAAGTGCGTATTTGGCATAGCCTGACCATTTCCGGCCAACAGGTCACAATGATGTCAAGGATCACTCTGAACCTCAAGAGGCAAGCATATTATGGACCTAGTCCCCTTCACTCGCAAATGGACAGTATTATCATGACTACACATAATGCCATATCAACACCTTCAGGAGAAGTTGTCGTTCTCAGCCAATTGCGGACACATTCTGTCCCATCCGCGGCGCACGTCGAGTTCAGCAGCCGTACGCGATCTGGCTCGACAAGTTCTCTTACCTTCCCTGCGCAGGCCATCACTTTCGCAGAGGATCCGTCGATACCCATTACTCGGTCTCGTTCGGGCAAGATATATTTCGCTACCAATGTCTCGTCTGCCCAAACTCCCACAGGTGGTAGTCCATTTTTCGAGCATACCGACCGGCCTTCAGCCTCAAATTCCGACTGGTGGAATACTGCTGACATTGTATAATCTAAATCATATTACTACTTCTCCACCTAGACAATAGTTCTTGTTTAATGTCCGTTAGGGCAGAGCCATATGGTGTATAATACCTATAGTACGTACCATGTCTGTCAAGTCTCACTTTGTACGTTGGAATGACTATTCTGAAGATTGCGAAAACGGAGACGCCAACTGAAGGCGAATGATAGAGTTACAAATGAGATTTGGATTGGACTTCCACCCCGGTTGCTTATTCCTCTCTCGGTTCGGGTGGAGTGACGTCTTCAAAGGACCGCTCCAGTCTTTTGGTGTGCGCTACTAATGCACTTGAACAGGGGGATGCAAGTGAGACTCGGACCATGTACATTCAAGTATAGATGAGGTTGCCTATGTAAGTTCGATATGGCCCGATGGACTATTGAGCTGTCGAGTAAGATCTGGTGCACGTGGAAAGCTTGATTAGCGCAGAATTGAAGATATCTGCAGCACAAGCTGCTTCCAAAGTTTGTCCAAGGACCAAAGACTAAAGTGCAGTATTAAACTTAAACTCCGCAGCGCTACGGCACATCAGCAGGAGACAACTTTATAAGCACTTCAACCATCTCACCCAATTCCACTCCAATCGCGGTCGTTCCACCTCGTAATGAGGTGTATTAGAGGAGGACAATATTCATGAAAATTTGTGTGTTCAAGTAGCCAGAAATGAGAGTTTTGTGAAAGTGCCGACTGCACCGGAAGGATAGTAAGCACAACGTCTTAAAGTTTCAGGTAAATGAAAGATTTAGGTTAAGTTTTGTATACTCACGTACACGTTAACGTTCATGCATGCATGGCCCGAGTTCGTGATGAACGGAAGAACTTGGTTCACAATCCTTAAAAAACAACATCCTCGGCATATCGACCCTGCTGGCCACTATATATCTTTTCATTTCATAGGCGTACAACGGCCAAAATCGAATAGCAGCTAGGTCATTAAGCTGTGCGTAGTAGTGTTACATCACATATAACTTACGGCGGACTTCAAGATCCACGGGATATAACTCTTACAATCCAAAAAACTTCCTCGGCATATCGAACCACATGTGCTGACCAGAAACGGGGGAAGAACTCTGCCATGGAACCTTTCCTCCATGTAGGTGTCCCGGAACCTTCAGCTCTGACTCGTCATCAGCTGCAACGTACAACTCCGAGGTATCCACTGGTTCCACCAGGTGAACTGCTTCCTTTTGCGAGAGAGACGCAGGAAGCGGCGGAAAGGCTGTCCTGCTGTTCACACTGGACTCACTTGTAGTCAAACAAACATCAGGGGCACTGGAAACATCCCCCTTACCCGACTGGTCACCTTTGTCATCCGGCCCTATGACTTTCACGTTCTCGTTCGATCCTGGATCGATCCCACCTAATGAGAGCGATGCCAGAGCTTCGTCGGGCACGTCATGGAACTCGCAATCTGCGGTATCTTCTTCACCTTCTTCCTCGCCTCCGTCAGCGTGCACGTGGTCTTCTCCCCAGCCGCCGCTGCCTGTACTTGAAGCCGTACTTGGTCGTCTGCTGAACCGGTTGATAATGCGCGCCGACATGATGGCGGTGCGCCACCTCTTGCGGGCGTCGAAATTTTCCCTGAGACCCGAGATGACGTCGTGTTCGGTAGAAGCCTTGTGCGTCGTCAACCACTATCAACGCCGTCAACGCAGAATTACGTGGATGATGGACTCGTGACCTACATGATTATTCAGAGCTTGTTGTGCAGTAGGTCGTTGCGATGGATGGGGGTTCAACAAAAGTTTAATAAATGACTTTGCTGTACGGGTTGATATTAGCACACATACAGCTAACGCCATCGACCATCTCACCCTCATCGGAGACTTTGGACCAGTATCGCTCATGAAACTCGATCTTGGCTTCTGTGGTCTCCCGAATCATCTCGTTTGTATCATCTCCTCTGAACGGCGAGTAACCGCAGAGCAGAACATAAGCTATGACACTGCAAGGAAGTCGCGGTGTTAGCGCCGTCAATTTTTGATCACAAACATGAGGTTTGATGCGATAAACAAGCGCTTACCCCGTTGACCAGATATCAACTGCTTTCCCGTGCCCTTGCTTGTTAAGAACCTCGGGAGCGACGTAGCCAAAGCTCCCGGCCAGCGAATGCAGCTGCTCTTCCGGAGAATGCAGATGTTTTGCACTTCGAATGAAGGCGTCATTGAGACATAAGTTCAGGAAGGGTGACCCCTCACATTCCGAAGTCAGCGATCACAATATCGCTATCCGGGTCCTTGGTTCGGTACAAAATATTCTCGGGTCTGTACACGTATCAAATCAATGATGCGACATTCTCGGTTTAGGAGAACATACTTCAAGTCCCTATGCACGATATCATGATCGTGTAGGTACTTCACTCCCGACAAGATGGAACTGAGACGATTCGTCAATTGTGAAGAGTGTGCAATTCATAAAGCATACCGAATGACTGCAACGGCGTCATTCTCAGTAAATTTTCCTCTTTGCAGTATACGTTCAAAGAGCTCGCCACCGACAGCTAGCTCAAAAACAAGATAATACTTGGACCGAGACTCGAACCACTCATAAAACTTGACCTACATTGATCTCGGAGGTCAGACACATATTAAAAAAGTCCGGCCGCAAAACACGAACGATATTAGGGTGGTCAAGACCCTTCAGGACATCCATCTCGCCCCAGACAGCAGCTTCGTTGCCCTTTACTTTCTTCTTTGGAATGACCTTTAATGCAACCTCTTTCACTATTGCGACGTGGTTATGTCCTCCTGGTGATGAGGGGACGGAAGAGCTAGTATGTGCTCGAGAAACGGACCTCTTCATATGATGCGGATGGAGAAGAGGAATGGAAGATCGACCGGGGGTGTGGTCAGTTGGAGATGATGGCGATGTGGGGAATGCCCCCTTTTGCGAAACATCGGCTAGATCAGGGGGAACTTGCCATGTCGCTCTCTGAGGTGCATAATTTTGTAATTAGATCATTGGTACGATAGCCATATAGAAGGTGGAGAAAATAGATATGCCTCAGCCTAGCTATAGTGACCGTACAGGTCGATAATTCAAAATCTCACCATGACTTTTCCAAACGTCCCTGATCCAAGAATTTCGTGAATCTCATACGACTGTTTTTTCACGAAACTGGGAGGCTGAGGAAGCAAGGCTTCTTTCAGTGATAAGTGTTTCATGGTAGGATTGCTGGCGCGTTCGACGTAGAGGGATAGTGTATAGCGTTCAGCAGCTCAAATAAGCAGTGCAACAATGCCCATAAACCACTAAGGTAAGGCGTGGAGCAAGCCTTGGTGAACGTTCTCAGGCCTGGAAGGGCAACGCAGTGTGACAGTCGTCAAAAACTCAGGGCATCGCCATGGCACTCGTTCCTATACAATAATACTTGTTCGATAAAGAAACTTTAGAAAAGATGAAACCTAGTATGTATTTCTATTGTAGTAATTGATGACAATATATTAGAGCAGGCTAAAAATACAATTGTGAGATAAACAATGCACAGATAAACGAAAAAATAAACAAAACAAGAGCAACTATGCCACTGAATATACCCGTTGGTCTTGGCAACAATATTCAAAGTCATCCAATTCAACGATTCTTTCAATGGCCAGCAAAAGTGGTAGGCGTAACGCCCACCGGGCCGGTCTCGATGGTGGTCGATGCGGCAACTGAAGTAGCCGATTGATAGCTATCGGAAAAGCAAGATATCAATAATGAGTGATGTCGTACTACTGGCATACGATACGCACGCAGAAACCGCAGCGGAAACGTTAACTTTCGTGTCGAGAAGAACGCTATCGATCACATGAACGACTCCATTGGACGTCAAAACGTCTGATCGCATGATGCGCGCCCAATTGGAGCCGGCGCTGGACACGTACACTCCAGAGGAGTTGGTCTTGAAAGCGAAGGGTTCCCCAGAGGCTGATGTATAATTATTTCCGTTCGTAAATCCTGGCGAGTAAACAGTCGTGCCATTAATAATCTGGGTATGGAGTCAAACCAAGTAAAATGAGCTGCATGAAAGGACAGACGTGATTCCCGAAAAGCGCAATCAGTGCAGTATTATTTGGCAGTAAACCGCTGATACAGTTCGCTGACGCAATGGCAGTATTATTTGGCGCAAAGATTGTGATACCGTGAGCATTGTTGAGCACATCGAGCAGTGTCGAATTAGTGGTGGGGATATTAATGGATGAAAGCCCGCCCGCAACGCTGGTGACGTCGTAAGTACTATTAGCGAGAGTATCAGACAGATTTTGAGGGATCTGAAGGACAGAGTTGATGACAAGGACTTGGATATTTTGATAGGTCGTCTTGTTTACTACCGGAACAGTTGTACTAAATGCCACTTAGAAAAAGTTAATCAATAGACATGGGAAGTCTCACCCATTATTGAGCACAAATAGGCCATCACTTCCGTTAGACCACGCTAAAACCTGCGATTCATTTCCTTCCAGCCAGACAAGTGAGGAATCATTGAGCAGCGTTCGCCCAAGGGTGATGTTTGGATATGGCGAGGTTTGATCGGTAAAATTGCCGGATACAACATGGTATGAAAGGAGATCCAGAACAGATGTTGCATTACTCGTGAGATTGACAGGAGAGGAACTGACTGTAAAACAAGGATGAAGTACCATTCTTCATTTTTATGTTAGAGTACCTACAAGCCTGATTGTTGGGTGCAAACAATGTCCAATTTCCCGTAGAGAGTGACTGTGCCAGTTGCTGCCCATTATTTGAGTTGTTTAATGCAGCACTCGCAGAAGCCAGCGTTGTAAGCCCATCAGTGTTTAATGTTTGGACAAGGCCAGCTAGGTATTGCTGCCAAGACTGGCCGAAAACTGCAGGGAGAAGAGTGAGAAGAACAAGCGATGCAAACATGATAATGATGTGATGGATGTTCGGAGGAACAGTGATTTCGGGGTGTTCTTAAAGCTTAGAGACCCACCATTTGTAAGATTTATGATGCAATGCGCAGCGCATCTCTATTCACCCCCATGATCGGAATGTCATAGGGGCAGAGCGCAAACCGACTTCTCAAATGCCGACAACATGCCGAGTTCGAACGAAATCTTACAAGTGGATTGGTAGTGTCGGAAAGCTGTTTAACAGAATCAACAAGACACTAGAGAAGATATTTAACTCGCTGACCTACTTAGTACTACTAGCTAGCCCTTGGGGCTCTCAATCGTCGAGTGACGAGTCGCAATTTGATGGATTGACATGAAAATGCCAATTTAGTGTGCTGACTAAGTGTAGCATTGCAAACTCCGCGACGGCCTCGCCGCTGGGAACGTCTGTGCACTCGACCTTTTTTCATTCCCAAAGCATCCCGCACCACAGAGAAACAGACATGGCTCGTCGTGCAGCACCAGCAAACGCAACACCTGCATTCTTCACAGCACCTCCGCGCCGTCAACTCGTTGATCCAAACGAGTCTGCTTTCTCCCGCTTCATTCGAGAGCAAATCACTGCTCCAGAAAAATTACCCGGGAACATCAGCATCATGACGGGAGTTAGTGTGTTTGCGGCTGGCATATTTGTCGCCAGGACATGGGGAGACATGTTGGTACCTGCATGAGCAAGGCAGAGACAAAAAGCAGGATGAGTTTGGCGGTGTTCTCCTGCAGTGGCCGTCACTACCCCCAAAATGGCTTGGTAAGTCAATTCTTTGTGGTGTGGATAGGGTCCTGATTTATCGACCATTTAGAAAGCTGTTGACACATCATGTTGTACCTGCATATCTCCACTTTGATCCGTCCATGACCGAACGTAATAGCTAGCTCACCCATAATTTCATCCAGTCTTAGAGGGTTGGATAGGTTGTTCCCAATGCATATTGCCGTTTATTGTGATTGCGTCCCATCAGGTCACCTGAATGCTGGTTACAGCAATGTTAGGCTGGAAGATGGGCCACGTGCATTGCAACCACTGCTGGCTATGATTCATGAAGTTATTCGCACAAGAAGCAACCAATATTATCGCAAGTTCTCAAAGCTGTTCTGTATGGAATATTTGTCAAACCAACTGACATGCGTGATAAGTGTTTCACCTTCAAATCCGCGGTAAAGAACACCGACAAAATAGGACATTTCTCGGAAATATTGACAACCGATCGGAATCAGTATGAGGGTGCGTGCATGCGTATCTCCACAGCACGATCCGGCCGTGGCCTATGATGTAGTCTAACGTTGCTGCAGAATATTTGCGGTCATATTGTTTTATTGATTTTTTTTACGGAATGCAGGGGCCACCAAAGAGCTTGGTTTCCCGCGCTCGGCCCACAGTTTCAAGCTCAATCGTCTCCGATTGTTTTGTATTAACCACCGTGGGCGGCTCGCTCTGTTTGCCACGGCACTCCCTCCCACTTTGTGAGCGATCTCACACGACGTAACTGTCGCTACTCATGTCCTTGCGCCAGCAAAATTCGCTGGTTGAGATTACCCGTTTGTAGATCAATGCTGTACTTCTTTATTTAAAAAAAGCTTCCACAGCCTTATCAGGGAAACAGGTGTGCTGGGGACACATAACGAACACCTGGAATAGCCTCGTGGCTTTCCTGCTTTTCTGGGAAAACTCGGACCATATTCTTTAAGTGGACCTAGAACCACGCGTGAGTAGTGCTACACTTTATAGTTTGAACCACTTAGCCTGAATTGACACTAGCAAGACCTTGGCCACATTCAGGGTACCATCGTACCTGGTCACTCGCTACCATCCGACCTGCGGCACAGTGACAAGAATGCGCCGGCGCTGTCCTATCAGGAAATTGACCAACCAAGTCCCACATATCGCCGACAGGCCTAAGTCGTGCTTCCTCCATCCACGGTTCAGGACGATGCCCTCGATTCTGAGTTATATCCGACAGATTTATGAATAACCTACGCCATTGATAAAGACCGGGATTGGCAAGCCACGACTACCCACCGGCCTGGCTGTTTGAAGATGTGTTCGACACATGTTCGTCCTATTCTATTTTCTGCCATTACGTTGACCTAAGCATATACTTTGTTAACGCCGCTTCTTTCTAGCCGCATACACTGGAATGTCTGCCGTTGAACCAGAACAGCGGAGACCATCTGCCAGCATGTCGTGATCCGATGGCGTGGCGGAGAATTGGAATAATACTGATGTGGAGTACCACGTATCTTGGTGCTTCATTTCTGAAGCTCAGTATCAGCAAGATGGTCAGGATTCGCGTATCGCGGTCTAGATAAATTTTATTATTATCTCCATATGTTATGCCAAGTTCATGATATGCCTATACTTATAGATCATGATGTATTTTACAATAAAATGCAACACTTTCAGCTGAATCCAGGATCATGGCGACACCCGCTCAGGTGTGAAATCATTGCCTCCAAGAATTTAAAAAAAACTCATCCAGGTTCGCCTCTCTCGAAACACGGCGCTCGCAAACATCGATAATCACTGAGCGCTCATCTTAATTATTTTTGGACAAGGCAGTGATTATCAATGATCAATTGAGTTACAGAAGTATAACAAACATTCAGATATTTGACAGTGATGTACAATGCAGGTACTACAAAGCAAAGCAAAGCAAAAACATACGATATGCAAAGAGTGCAAGAATAGTGTCCAGGCAATAGCAGATAAGCTGAGTGAACGCTGCACTAATAACCCCCGTATCATGATGAAACTGAGAATGTAAATGATGAACTAAATATATGGAATCCCTTATGATCGAGCATCTACGCTGCCGAGAAATCATCCGTCAAATTCTACTGGTGTTCAATAAAGTTCAGCACACTACTGGAGTTGAGAGGCAGTGTCTGTTCCCGGTCCAGCGGGGGAAGTTGTGTTCATTGATGGGGTGTGTGAGCATACCGGCATTGACTGCACAGGTGTTAAAGGTGCCGGGGCAAGAATATTCCGAAATTGCGTGTGGTATTGTTGCAAGGTTGAGCCACTACTTTGCAGATATCCGGCTTGCATTGCAGAACCTGTGGAATATTGACGGCTATGGTATGCATCCTCTTGCCTGGGTACCGCCGAGCTCCCTTGAATGTGGTCAACAGCACCGTAGTGGTGAGAAACGTCAGATATTTGTGACTGGGATTGTTGGGCTGTATAAACGCTGTGGGAGCTGCTCTGAGACGGATAGAAAGAAGAGTTTAGCATGGGAAAGCCATAGCTCGAGGAATGGGCCGATGGATTGTTCGCAGCTGATGGCCCCGAGGGGCTAGCACCCCATGACGATGGTGATGCCTGAGCTACTTGGTACTGACGATGCACGTCATCTCTAGTGTGTAAAGATGGTTCTGAACTACTCTGCGACCAAGATTGGACAGGTATGCCTGCTAAATCGTCTTGACTAGAACGACTGGAAGGGTGCCATTGCCCATCGCTTCCAATCTGACTTGGCAGGTAAGAAGCTGACGGGGCATGTGTTGTATTGTGCACGAAAGGGGAAAAATAAGCAGTACTCGTTGATCCGCCGCGAGGTACGGATGTGGATGGGCCCATCACGGCATCAGGTGTGACGCGCCCGTGAGAGGATAGATACGGCGTCCGTATGTCGTTGCCACTATGGCCATGATGTGGTAACGAATCAGCCAGTTGGTAACTCGACGCTTGCGCCGGCGGCAAGTAGGAAGTATCGTATGTGGCCTCCGCGGACGTGCAGCCTTCTGGTCCGCTACTTTCGTATCTTTCTTGAGAATCATGATGGTATTCGACAGGAGATATTTCGCCATACTCAGGATTGGAAGACTGATCGTCGACCGAGTCCGTGGTAGAAGCAGAGTCTCCAGCCACACCTGTGGAGTCTGCTCTTCGCTTTTTGCGGCTGTTGTTCGGTCTCCGTCTGTAAACGTAATCTGGGTACTTGAGATTGAAATTATCCTTCAGGTGTTTGGCTTGGTCAAGGTAGAACTGCTTCTCGGACTGAATAGTCTCAAGGTCAGAACCACCGTCGCAAACATGAAGAAAATACATTACCATGTCCATAGCATTCCATTCTCGACTCAAGACTTTGCTGACATCCCCCGTTCGCAATGATTGATTTTCCGCGGAGACTTGGGGCCGTCTCCTGCGAGCAAAAATCATGAATGCATTCATGGGACGCTTAGGCGTGCCATCCGCATTCAAGGCTTGGGATGTCAGGGAGATATTTACGTCGTCTGAAGCCATTTGAGTGAGATGTGTCATTGCGAAGATATCGAAAAGATAGCTCACCGTCGATATCTGCGTCCATCTTATTTGGATCCTGATAGAACAGATAGACACCAGCGTCGTCCTCCGAACTTGAGAGAGACCCCTGGTCTTCAACTCTTCCGAGTCCTTCATGGAAGGAGACATTGAGAGGGTCGGCATATTCTGCGGTAGTTCCGTGCCTTCCTTCTCGAATGAAGCGGTTCATGTCAACAATAGTAGTGGGGGGGCGAGTAAAAAGTTTCAAGCTCGGATAGTATCAAAGAACAAACTGTTGCTTTTGTAGGTGCAAGTGATGTTCCAGACGGGATTGAAACTAGACTGAGACTGGTTGGTAGCCACGGTCCTGGAATCAGTGACCCGTTCGCTCCTAATATGAGGAGTTTTGAAGAGGTTTGTTGACGTACTGAACCCAAGGAATAACGCATGGTGAAGTGAACCGGAACAGGCAGAATCATTAAGTCTGATCGTAAAAGTCGAGTGAACCTAGTGGTGCCTTCAGGATTCGCGGAGCTCGTTTCCTCGGGTATGGCGGCTCGCAATTACTGAGGCCGGGCGCCGCTGGCTATAGCGACCTTTCATCATGATCACTGGCGACTGCTCAAATATTTCTCCGCTTCGAAATATCCAAAATCGTGGTTGTCAGTCCCGAATCCAGCACTTGCCATTAATTATGCGTCCAGAAAATCGAGTACCAATTCAGGCTAGATCTGTGCGACCTGAACGTTGAAGACCCTTAAATTTTTTGGCGCTCCGAATCCCCCCAAAAGTAGGCTTGTCCAAGGATGGCTATAGTCATGGGCAAAAACCCCCTTTCGACACGATGACTCGTGTCGAGCGCGAGGCCCTTACGACTTATGTTAACCCAGGTTGGTCTGCTAGTGGGACATTTTTGTTACCATACCTCCGATTGTTTTTTTTTCCAATAAAATGCGAGGACCGTCAATCGTTTTGCTCCGGCGGAGATTGCTGAGAAATAATTTCACGCTACGCGGAAGTTACTTCCACTGCTGGATCACAGGTGCCAATCAAGCACAGGGTGTACAAGTCAGTTCCGTTACTCCGACTGTCGCTGTGCTTACTCGGAGATGCCCCCAGTTGCACATTTTCCATTCTCGGTTCGGACACTTCCGCTTCATCTGCTCCAGGTCAGCCGTGAGGTTCTCTCTTTCTGGCTTCCTATCCTTGCACGCTGCATGCTTCTTTCTGCTGAACTTGTCGACGTGAACCCTAGGTTCAGGGAGCACCCTATTTCCTTCTCTGCTTAAAGTTCTTGCACAGGCATATTATGTATCATTTGCTGCGCACCTTCTGACTCCGATCAAGATCATGACATCTTGTGGCAAGCCTACTAATAGTCCACACTTGGGATAGTCCGCTTTGTGAGTGCTCTTTTAGGACGAGTCCAAGGAACAACGCGTAGCTAATGTGTCTTTCTGCTCAGGAAAGCCTCAAGGGTCAACGTAAAGGTAGAATTGCCAAGTCAGGGTCAAGCCGGATGTGGCACGAGTAAAACTGATAGAACGATTTCAGCACCGATTTGCTGAAGTCGAATCGACGGATTGAAAATTTCCTGGACACTAAAGCAAATTTTCTGAAGGTTGTGAGTATGTTTCTTTTCAATCCCAAAATAAATTCACCGCACTGAGAACCTGATTGTTATTTTCCCGTCGACAGTGCGGGATTGCGTCATATCGGCAATCTCGAGACGCGTCGCCTGGAGATCTTGTTCAGATCCACATGCACTGGGCTATCATGCTAAAGGTCAGACTATTATCGCCAGATCTACGCGAAGCAGATAGAAGACCAAATTTGAAATAGCGAAACCTTTTCTCATGTAGTGTGACTTATGATAGGATACTTGCGCATGTTGTGTACTGCAACTGGGAGTCCAAGATCAACGAATGTGTGTCGTCGTGGCAAAACTACCAGGTTTGCAATAACTCACTCAAAGTCTCTGATCACCCTATAATTCCTCTTGCAGACTCGAAATACAGTCACGACTCACGATAGCACTCAAACATCGTAGTCGTTCATTAATATCGCTTCGTAGCAAGAGAAGATCTCAACACGATCCAAAAAAGTTGTACCTGGATTCGGTACTTAGTCACTTCTACCAACTGATCACTCAAATGCACAGCGGTTATCTCCTTGACGGCATTAAATGTAAAGGCAATAAGGGAGCCAAAGATGCGATGGATGCGATGATCTGCACCGCGCTATCAAAGATCTACGTCAGTACTATTCATGATGGTCTAGTTTTCTAATTACCGTACAATAGGGGAATCGGTCGTATGTCTCTGACTCGGGGGAGGGGCAACGATCACATTCTCTTCTCGAGGACATCACGATCCAATATACGGCACCTAGACGACAAGGTGTTCGATGCCGACACTGAAGAACTCAGCAGACGATCCGATGATCGCCCTTCAAGAGAAAGTTCGATCTCGCCATCAGTCACCGTGTCAGCCTAAGTGGGAACAAGGTGATGCCGCAAGAAGGCGCATATCACAAAGTGTTCGTACCTTTTCCTTTTCTTCTTCTGACGGTACTCCAGCACGACGACACGCAATAAGTCACACAACTTTCCACATCTACCGAAAGGGGATTGCCCTCCGTCTCTCGTGGCACCTTTGCGGGATGTGAGACACGGTACAGTCAGAATTATTTGTGCAGATCATTGAGTGGTTGTATTTTGGTGTTATCCTTGCCTCACGCTAAGTCATCGAAATTAAAGTTACACCTAGCCGCGGCTGCTCACGATGATGATGTATTCTCTAACGGAGAGCGGCCAAAAGCACTGCAATTCCAGCCAACTCCGTGGCACTTCGATGATTATGGTACAGCACAAATAACCTCGGAGACCGTAGGACAACGCCACCGATTGCGGCATAAAAAACAAACTAGTCAGCTAATATAGATAAGACCGTCATCGTCGCTCCACGTAGTTCACCGGCATCAGTTTCGCAAAGGATAGAGTTCACGTCGAGACAGCTTCTTGCCGGAAGAAAGGGGGGCATAAGGACTAGAAGGTCTGGGCTCAAAAGTTGCGGGATCAAAGCTCCGACCTACGCAATTGTCCTGGCGATGATATCACGAAGGCGTGTCAAAGGAGAAAAAAAGGGACGATTCAAATAAGCAAAGGGCCAACAAGGTTTCAAAGTATAAAACACTAATCGGAGGCGCGGGTTAGGACAGTTCCCTTGGTAGTACGTTGATCTCCATGCGGGGGGAAAAGGGTCGCCCAACTCCGAATATCTCCTTGCAGAGGTACAGAAAGTTCTGTCAGAAGTCAGCCTGTCAGATGACTCATGCATTTGATGCTGAGAGGTGTACGCGCACTGGCAAATGACCAGTAACATACTGATTTGACATTCTGAAAGTACCCGAAACATCGTTTTAGATCACCTTAAGGACCTAATGTCAATATCTACCTTCAGCTCAAGATTCTGAGCTACCTTGCGTGATTTCCAACATGCTTGCTGTCTCACGCCGGCTTGTGCCCATTTTTACCTGTGGGCGATGCGCCACTTACTCCTGTGAACCGTAGCGCTTGCGGCTTGTTCGCGTCCGACGAACAGCGGTTCTTAACCAAGCCTATCAGTAAACTATAGTGCCACATTTTAGTCAGTATATATCTTACTCGGTGCTTTGCACTAAGGGCAAGCTATTCGCAATGTGGATAGTTCCGCATGTGTTCCCGGGACCACGGGCGTAGTTCTGAAGTGAAATTGTCAAGTTTTAATTTCGTGTATCGGCGAAAATTACGAATATCACGTGCTGAGGTGACAAGAGTGGAGTCGGACATTGGTTATTCGGTCGCCAACGGTTGATCACTCAGTACTCAGTGCTCACCGCTACGATCATGAAGGATCGCGTACAGAATGCAAGTGAGTAAAATACCGGTTTCCTTTGAAAATAGATGCAACCGTCCATCTAGATTTTCCCAAAACAGAGGACGGTCGAGTGTACCACTTGGGTATACGAGCAGGAGAGGTAGCCAACAGAATTGTAAGTCAGGCGCTTTTCGCTTCTTCCAACAGCTCATAAGTGTATGAGATTACTGTTGGGTCCATGTCACGGGCAGAGTCTATCGGAAAGATGCTAGACGCCTCCCCAAAGTTATTTTCGCTGTACTCGGAGCGCGGTTTCCTTACCATCACAGGTTGCTACAAGAGTGTACCAGTATCCATAGTATGCATAGGTATGGGCGCACCCAATGTAGATTTTTTTATCCGCGAAATCAGAGAATGCCTGTCTGGGGACATGCTTGTAATAAGGTCGGAACGGTCTTAATAATCGCGCTGAAATATCGGACTAACAGGGTGTATCGGAAGGTTGGGGTCATGCGGTTGCTTGACTGACCTTCCCGTAGGATCGCTCGTCCTGCCAGCATCGAGCGTCGCTTGCACCCGAAATGTGGACTTCGATTTTGTTTCCGGCGATCCTTGGGAGGTTCCATACAGGTTGAGCAAACCCGTCCGCATCATCGTTGCTCCTTTCACATCCGTTTACTCACGGAACGTAACCAGGTCTCAGCAGATCCAGACCTTCATAGCGCCGTAAGTCGGATAAGGTACTACTTTATGAAGCCATCGCTCATTCCCAAGGTAGTTGCGTGATGCCCTCGAAATAACACGGCCGCCTTCACTCAAAAATCTTGTAGTTTCGAATGCTGTCAATGCATCGACAGACAGGTAGATTTCAATTACATATCCTCGCCGCATTCCATCATACTGATATGAAAAAAGTTTCTATTCATCTCAGGGGAGACAGACATCCTTTCAAGATCATAATGCTTCTTTGATCGATCACCTCAAAGCCGCTGTATCTGGTATAACAACGCTAGAGGTACGTGTTTCTTCACCGAAATCATGGACATTGTCTTCGATAGACGGGGACTTCCCCCTTAGATGGAAACGTTCTGGATATTTCATCTTGCGGCCAGCTGGCGTGGAGTTAAACAGTCCAGTTCGGCCGTTAATCCGCCACCAGCTACGGTTCCGGTCGTACCAGCATTCTCGGGAATACCCAGCAGGACATCAGAGAATGTAGAAGTACTCCTTCCCAGTCTCGTTGGAAATACTTCTTCCAGACCGGTGATTAGGGCTGCAGCCGCCCAAATGGTATTCGCCTCACGAAGCTCTCAAGCCTTTATCAGTCCAGACCAGGTGAACGAGCTCGAAAAATGGAGTGGCAGAGGCGTGCTCGAAGCCCTTACTAAATTCGGTGTAGCCCCTGAAGTACGTATGTCGACCTTTGTGTGGCCTGCAATGCTCAGATTCGAGTTCTTTGATAGAGACTGCACCCTATTTCTGGAAGTGTGTGGGGACCAATAGAATCATCCAACCCATTGAAGGCGTTGTTGTAACAATCCTGCATCACAGGGATGTGCACCGCTTGCACGCCATAAAATCATGTCGGACAAAGAGATCCTTAAACCCCACAGCTTGCGCTCTTGCAAGGTTTAGTAATGATGGCATACCCTTTTTTTGCTAGTACCTACTCTATGACGAAACATGATGAACACGGAAGGAACATTGTCCCACTCCGATCAAGAAACCAGTCTCGCGTGTACCATATACCCTCCGGGTTTCTAAAATTGGCTTGAAATAGCGTGGCAAAACTTGCGGCAAACATGATATGCAGCCTCAAGATTGGCATGCGGAGCTTGGAGTTACTTTAAAGGATACATTGCTAGAAGGGTTATTATCTTAGTTCTGTAACAAATTTCCGCAATGATCATCCGGGTAAGTGAACGCATCGAAAATCAAACACGAGGGACTCACAGGTCCAGTTTCATCACCGTGCTTCGCAGGAACATGATCACCGATATACAACAACTATGCCAAACTCCTCCAGCAATGATGCATCGACCTTGGCGATCTGGGGACAATCGTTGACATGGACACAGGCGATTTGAACAGGGCGCAAAGCCTCTTCGATGGGAATCAATGTCGATGACACTCCATGAGAGTTCTGCATTGTATGTGGCTTTGCGGGAGAAGACGGGCCTCCCTGTGGAGATACCACGCGCGATTTCTTCAACGGCAGTATCTTACGGCCCATGACCGCAGAGACAACGCTAGGCACGTCTTTTTGAGCTTTCATGAGCACGCTGGTGCTTACAGACTGTGCACGTGCAAATACGACTGCAAATAAGCTTTGGAATTTGAAGTCAGAGCAGCTCCAAAGTGCTATCCTTTCCAACTTCGGACAAACTCTAACACCACATCCACGCGTTTCTTTGCGTTCTACATCCATCGTGCGACCATATGCCTCGGCAAGCGCGTCTAGCACGCCGTCCACACCAGTGCACGATATCAGCGTCAATGATACGAGGCCTGGCATGTAACCAAGCATGAGCTTCCCGTGCCCGGCAAAGACATCAAGATGTGACAGCGTGAAATGCGTAAGGTGGGGGAGACGAGGGTCGCGAAATACATAATCAAGGCGCGGGAGAGGATGTTTGTGGTCACAATTTGAGGGGCACTTTCCGGCATATGCAAGCTCGAGTTGCTCGAGCACAGGGAAGAAGAATTGGCGCAGCGAAGAAATGAGGGAATCACCATCCTGGCAGCTGACGCACAACTCCTTAAGCGCGGTCATGGATAGGACGCCTCCGAGGCGCTCTGCCTGGATGAACGAGTCTGATTCGTGCCCATGATTGCCGCGAAGCATGCTGACGTCGTTCCGCTTCGTTAGGGAGTTGGCGATCAGAATCTCCCATCGTTCCAAAGCAGGCATGCCGAAGAAAGACATGAAGGTGTACACGTCGCGGGGATTGGCGAACTTCCACGTGAGACTTTTGAGTTTATGTAGTTTGAGAGGGTCCACAACGACGAACCGATTGTCCGTTGTTTGTCCTTCGCTAGGTTCCTCGAATACAACATCACGAAGGGGTGTAGTTTCCATAAGAACTAAGTCTTGGAGCTCTGGAATAAAACTCAGGAAACGGTGCACATGGGACATTCGTAGGATGTACTGAGGAGCGCGCTGGGATCTTCGTTGAGGGAAGGAGAGCTCGAGAGTTTGCACAGACCGCAAGAGAGATGGCGAAATGACACGCGGTGGTAGTTGTTGGAGACGGAGGTAGGTAAGGACGCTTGGTGTGTCAGCGAGACTCTGTTTGTCCAGTTCATCCAGTACGAGTAGTGGTGTGCCTGCAAAGCATGGGGCAAGGCTTGTGAAGGACAGATCCAAGGAGCATAATGACTCTAATTTGTGAAGGCTATCTATGAGTAGTTCCACAATGAGTCCCATACTGGCAGAGGATGTGCACTCGAAGGTGATAGAGCGCACACGAGAGAGGTGAAAGCTCAGCATGTGGAGTAGACATTCAGATGCCAGCCGCTCATCCTCAGCAGCGTCATGGTCATCAACATCATACAGTGGGGGAGAGAATGTGAGGTCGATCAGACTAGAACCGGAACGATTTATGAACGCGCACACTGGAGACGCGGACCACTTTCTGCTCCTGAAAGAAACATGCGACCACAGCATAGAAGTGGCAAATGCGAGTTTACGCCATTTCCGGCATGTGTGTGATATAATGACGGGCGATGGATTGTACGCGAGACCTGCTGAGGTGTCTAGGTCGTCCTCCGTCACAGAGACAAAGATTTGGATCAGCAACTCCGAGGGCAACCAGTTGATTGGATTTTTCTGACTCTCTAGCTCCGTTATTTGAGATGCAAGTGCCACTTGCTCGGCCTTGACTGAGTCTCTGAGACGGGCCATGTCCTCCAAAATACGGACGAAGTCATCCTCACGACGCTGCAGAATAGCGATTTGAGCTTGCAAGACTTCAATCTCGTGGTCAATCGTGACGCTGCTCTTTTTCGGCATGTCGAAAACAGAATGACGAAGAAAGAGGGTTTGAGTCGTTCATTCACAGAATGAACAGACTTCAAGTTGGAGTTACAATAAGCTTGTGCCAAACAAACATACTGGTGAGTTGTCGACAGCAACACAACTTGTGGGTAGCACTTTTTCCAGTCATCATCCTACTAAATACACATTCGATACTTATCATAAACCGCAGTAGACTCCTGTAGACTCACGCCCTGCCGCGCTACGGAAACTACGGAGCGATGTAATTCATTTATTAAATCAGAATTCGAGATAGCCTGAGAGTCTCAATCTGATGCATCGCAGTAAGGCCGCTGCCAGGAAAGTACCGTATTAGCCCTGCCGACCGATACGCGAGTTTGTTCATGTACATGAGTTGCAACCAGCTGTTTGCAGGACACATGATAGGCCAAAAATAAAACAGCTTTGAATTACAATGTACCACGAAATTCTGGGTATGCGGCAACGTCCTGTGCTGTGGTAGAAACGCGATTTTGACTTTTGCCGCCTTATCTTGGACTGGCCTAGCGTCTGCAAAACGGCTGTGATAGGCGGCTAAGGGTCAGGTGCATTGCAAGTACTAGGTCCTGGATTGAATAGCAAAATCAGCTGCCGAAAAGAACAAACTTAAAATACTAGTACTGTGACGGACTGTAATGAACGCGTTATTAGTTTAACATCCTTCTAGACCGCCTGAATTCGGGCCAAGGGCATGAACTGCTTTCACTAACGTAAAATGGTGGACCTCGAGAAACTTGAAGCTTGAAGGTCGAGTACAGCGCTTCGAAGGCCAATGCTCCAGACACATATGCGTAAACCTACACTTTAAAAGTAGATGGTATGTTGCGCGTGAGGGAATTGCCGTTCATATGTTCCTGAAAGCTTGTTTCGGTATTTCGGAGTTTTACGTAATAATTTGATGTTGGGATAAACTAAATCACAGCCTCCACTCCATTCAACATTGTAGGTGCTGGCCAGGGAATAAACTGTACGCATTATGATCAAAATGCACCAGCACCTAAAATCACAGCCTGAGACTTGACTGTAAATTTAATCTCGACAGAACTTCCCGCTCTCGCCTCGTCGGGCATTCACCGGCACGCGACTAGTATGTACTCAATTTCCGCTTTGACTCAATCAGGTTGGAACTGATGATGAGCTACAAATTTAAGCCGACTTACTGAACCGACATTGATGATCTATTCTTAAGTGAGGTAGTCAGCGCTCTGGAGTCTGGCCAGCTAGTCTTGTGGGTTCGTGATGTGGCACGAGGACTTGTCATACGGGTCCGTACGTCATTGACCTATTTCTCTCTCACAGTTGATATAAATTATGCCGCCCGAAGTCCCGCTGCGACAGGCCCACGTAAGGCCCGGCCTCAGGGGGGATATCGAGCAAAAAGTATAAATACAACCCATCATTGATGCAGATGATCAGTGAAGCTCATCATCAGCGACGGTACTATCGTTCTCACAGGTTCACTGTCATGTTCTCCTTGCTTTTGCTTTTGGGTGTCCTGTACACCCTAGCGCCTACAGTCTGGGGAGATGTTTCTCAGCGTGCTACGCTGGGGAACAAGCTTGCTTCCAATGGCACAGGAACGCCGAGTTACTCTATGAATGTCACAGATTGTCCAGGTGGGAATACAGTTGAAACTTTGTGGAGTTGTCACTGACAATGGCAGGTTTCAGGATACACTTTAGGGTCGCTTCACGAGTCTGACATTGGTCTCACTGCTCAGCTCACACTCGCTGGACCAGCATGCAATGCTTTTGGACGAGACATTTCAAACCTCACGATCGAAGTCACTTATCAATCACAGTCCACGTATATCGATTCCCGAGTTTTTCAGGTGCAGCGCTGATGGCTGGTTTTAGTTTACATGTCAAGATTTATGATACTGCAAACCAACAATTCACAATCCCCGAGTCGGTGATCGAACGGCCTGCCGCGCCAAAGACATCCTACACGGGTAACTCCGATCTTTTATTCAACTTTGATGCAGCGCCTTTTGCATTTTGGGTCACAAGACGCTCTGATCCGGGCGCAATGCCATTGTTCGACACGAGAACTTCATCGCTGCCACCGACTCCTATTCCACCTTTCAATGCATCTGATCCAAGCACGGCGTTTGATGGTTTTCCCCTTGTATTTGAAGATCAATACCTCCAGGTGTGCATCCATCATTCTACTGAGACTATCAATATGGCTTACGGCTATTAGGTTGCTTCCGCTCTGCCGTATGGCACCAACATCTATGGTTTGGGCGAGGTCATTGCTAGTAGTGGATTTAGACGCGACATTGGGACGGATGGGGGCGTAGGCACTATTCAGACGCATTGGGCTCGCGATGTTGCAGATCCCATTGATCAAAACATGTAGGTCATGTGATTAGAAATAATTCTCACGTGATGATTCACGATTGTGTTTAGGTATGGCTCCCATCCAATCTACGTCGAACATCGGTACAATGCGACTACTGGAAAGGCCTCTGCCTCTGGTGTTCTTCTGCTTAAGTATACAACTGCAACTAAATCCTGATTCTATCTCTTAATAACATTCCTTAGTGCCGCGGGTTCAGATATCTTCCTGCAGACGCCCCCGAACTCTAAGGTGTCATTAATCGAATACCGTCTGATTGGTGGTATCATGGACTTCTACTTCTTCTCTGGACCCTCAGACGCAGAAGTAATTGCTCAGTACGGTTCAGTGATTGGGTACCCTATGTGGCAACCAGCGTGGGGCTTCGGGTTCCACCTTTGCAGGTGATATTCTTTGCATTGCAATCTGCGTATAATAGACTCACTTAAGTCATACAGATGGGGATACCACAATGTCAGTGATGACATAGAAAATGTTGCGCAGATGCGCGCAGCAGGTATCCCCTTGGAAGGTTTGCTCCATTTTGGACGTTCGTTGCTCGTGATCCTTACTTTGCGCTAGTTCAATGGAATGATATCGACTTGTACCACGCTTTCCGCGACTTTACCACTGACCCAGTAAATTTCCCTGGGGATGAACTTCGCACGTTCATTCGAGATTTGGTGAGCATTTCTCCACATAGGTTCTCCCAGTTCTCACTCCAGTGAAAGGCCGAGAATAATCAACATTGTAAGTGCACTTTCACTCTTTCCCTCCTAATTTTGATCGATCTCGTCATTAGATATCCCCATTACGGATGTAGGTATCGCTATCACAGTAAATTCGACTGACATCGTAAGTTTGTTGACATGCTGCTAAAGTCGTATGCTTCCTGACCGCATCGTCATTTAGTATGATCCTTTCACACGGGGCGTTGAAGAGTCAGTTCTTTGCGCCTGATAATGGGCTAAAGCGCTAAATGCATTACAGAGATGTGTGGATCAAAAATCCAGATGGATCTCTGTACCTTGGTCAAGTCTGGCCTGGATACACCGTTCGTCACTCGTGACATGTGGAACACCTCATACAACTGACGATTGAACGTGCTTTTTAGGTCTACCCAGACTGGTTCAGTGAAAACATACTCTCTGTATGGACCGAAGCTTTTAGAAACTGGACTGAAATTGGGGTTGAATTTTCCGGTATTTGGCTCGACATGAACGAACCAAGTTCATTCTGTAGTGACTCCTGGTAAGGTGAGATAGTGTGTTCTTAATTTGAAGCTAACTGGCGAGAAGTGGGACCGGTGCGAACTACTCTGCCCTTGCTCCCATGAACATGGCTGGCACGGTCGTCACTGGGTACCCCGAATGGTGAAGCAACTGTCTTGAGTTGAAGTGATGAATATTACTAATGATGATGGATAAAGCTACAATGAGACGAAATGGGGACCTAGTGGGAATATGACCATCAACGGCACCTCTACAAATTCATGCACAACAAGCTCAACCACTACGAGTACGGTTGTGAAACGCGGCGTCGGCGCTGGTGGCGAGAAAGGTGTCAATCTCAACAGCCCGCCATATGCTATCCATAATGGTAAGTTTCATTCGTCTTATAACACGGCTTTGATCCGACTCGGAGTAAAGCTATCGGGTCCCTTAACCGCAACACTCTGGCGACGAATGCGACCCACTCCGGCGGATATGCAGAGCTCGACGTGCACAATATGTTTGGATTGATGGAGGAAAAGACCACGCACCTTGCGATTCAATCTGTCATCCCTGGAAAGCGTCCGTTCTTGATCAGCAGATCAACCTTCCCATCTGCTGGAAAATGGACTGGTCATTGGGTATTTTGAATTTCTTTGACAGAATAGAACAGGATGTTAACGTCTCTAGCTCGGTGACAACTACAGCAAGTGGCAGTATCTATACCTCAACATTCAGGGTGTTCTGCAGTTCCAAATCTACCAAATTCCGATGGTTGGCGCTGACACCTGTGGATTCAGTAAGTATTCACAGAATCCCGATTGGTTTCTTGTTGACGAATGGCGCAGATGATAACACCGACGAGGAGTTGTGCAACCGTTGGATGCAGCTCTCGGCATTTGTTCCATTCTACAGGAACCACAATACTTACGCCGCCCTTCCTCAAGAACCTTATCGCTGGGAAAGCGTAGCAAATGCATCCCGCATCGCCATTGCTGCTAGATACTCCTTACTGCCGTACTGGGTAAGTGTCCTCTCTTTCAAGTGTTCGTGAAGCTGACAGTAGACATACAAAAGTACACGCTTTTTGCCAATTCCTCTATGGCTGGTCTTCCGCCTGTCAGGGCGTTGTTTTACGAGTTCCCTGACGAACCTGAGCTTTTCACAGTGGACACGCAATGGCTCGTTGGAAGTGACATTCTCGTGACTCCAGTACTGACTCCAGGAGCTACGACCGTCGACGGTAACAGTCCAAATCTCATCGATGAGGTCCCTGACTAACATACTATCTTATAGGTATCTTCCCAGGTCGCGGTAGCGTCATCTGGCGCGACTGGTACACGCACGCGGCCGTGAATGCTACGTCTGGAGGAAACACAACACTAGACGCTCCTATCAGTTACATTAACGTCCACATCCGGGACAACTCCGCTCTGTTACTGCATCAAGAGCCCGGGTATACCATCTATGAGACTCGCGAAGGCCCCTATTCGCTGCTCGTGTCTCTCAACGCAGCAGGCACAGCATTCGGTACTGCATATGTAGACGATGGGATTAGTTTCCCACCTGGACCGAGTCGGAGCCTCACATTCCAGGCTGCAAAAGGCACACTCAAGATTGAGAGCAAGGGAGAATATACGATTCTGCAGAAGTTGGAGACGATCACTGTGCTTGGCGTGCAGAAGCCTAGCCAGGTCTCATTGCAGGGATCGCCGGTTAAAGGGTGGACTTATAAGGAGGCCACTGAAGAGCTGGTGGTGTCGAACACTTCTGTCAACCTTGATGGGCAGACGACTTTGGCGTGGAAGTAGTTTTTCTAGGGTGTATTTCCGGGTCATTGGATGGATCGCGCAATGCGTCATCGAAGTCACACTGGCATCAGGCTGGTTGGACGATCTCGCTCACTCATATGTTATGTTTTCTAGTCGGCATCATATTGACTGTATGAGATATTCCTCTACTCAAATTAAGGCTTCCGATTACTCGAGCAGCTGTGAAATTGCCCCAGCAGCGATTCCAATTATCAACTCAGCAAGCCATTACTAGGCTAGGAAGGGTTTGGTCAGGGTAGCAAGGTATCGGCAATGAAAGCTCCATAAATATTTCATTGGAAAAGATGCATGGCAATAAGTAAGTGCGGATAAGCATAAACCGTAAGCTGGATCCCAGGTGTGAGCGTCCCTAAATTTAAAGTAGCAATTGCGAGGTTCGAAGAAGTGCACTCACGGTGGGTCACATTCTCGCTAATCCCGAATTGCCTGTCACTTCCGCACATTGCAACGTCCATCTCAGGCTGGGTCCATCTTGGGCTTAGCCCCTGCTTGTGTATCATATCCGACTCAAAAAGAACTAATTTGCTACCAAGCCCGCGTGCTTGCAAACTGTTTCCTCAACAATTCAGGATATTCTCATGTGGTCGACAGTTTATACGTTGATCCCAACAATTAATACATGGCTTTAAATTTGTCGCCTACTTTTATCATAACGCACGCTCCAGTATGACTGCAATGCATACCAGGAAATAACACGTCTGTCACGAATCGCGATCGGCATCCCATTGGTTCCATCAGAGAGGCAGAGATTCGCGAGCTTAGGCTAGCCTTCGAGGCCAACGTTATACAAACCGATTCAAGCTGCGCAGTGGGTTTCATCTTCGTGCGGCTTCCCAATGTTAATTTTCAACAGCAACAGTCACTTGTTTCGACAGCCTCTCGAACTCAAGCTTAGTGCACCACGAACAGAAATAGGCACGGTCGACTATTTTCAGATAAATTCGAACATCTACATCGCTCAGGCAGTACGAAAATTTGTTCAAAAGAACTCGCATTGATTGGCTCCGAACTACGGTATTGCACTATCAACTATGACACCAAAGCGAAAGCAGTAACATGACCCACTGTCACGACGTGACCCTGGGGCTGCTGGCTCAATTTCCAACTGGCTGGCAGATGAAACCAACCTAAGGCGCGCAGGTGAGTTATGTGATTGAATCCTGGTTGCACAGCGACCTGCTCATACTCACAGAAGTATTGACACAGGTCAAGTCTTTGCAGCAATCGGAAGGTTGTAGGCAAGTTGCATCCTTCTCAAAGCATGCACTGACAAACATAGATGCTGTCAAAGCAACAACAACGCCAAGGAGGGGCAAATGCATTTTCTGTGCGAAGTGATATGGAATCTTCTGAGGGGGATCTCGGATGGGGGAACATTGTAGGACGACTAGCTTTTATATCCTGCGTATACTTACGGGAACGACCTTGATCGATTTGGCAGAATCGTTATTGCTGTCAGATGGCAGAAGTTTCTGCAGAACCTACAGGAGCGTATTCATTTGATTACGAACATTTAAATGACCTACCTGCAGGCACCAACAATTATCTTGGTGACCACACGATGCTCGCTCGAATCACCGGTCTTTCATCCCAATCTCTCACTCATCGCCTCATCATTTGAACCTGCACTAAGCCTGCCAGCGTGGCGACAAAGTTGAGAAGTTGATGCTCATTCTCGTCGACACTTCCGATATGTACTTGGTCGATATCTCATACTCATTCTTATTCTTGACATGCTCTTGGTCGAAGAGGAGTCCCTGGTACTATCATAGTCATGGTCACAGCCCATCACAGCTCCTTTGCAATTTTAGACGCCCAAAACGATATCAAGTTATCTCATGTCCTACTCTGATGACCCTATACTTCCTCGGAAACAAGGAACGGCGTTCTAAAAACTAGTGACTAACAACCGTCCCTTGCACCCATCCAACACTTGCGCGATGCAGCGCAGGGCGAAAGTCCGATAGGCCTCCTTTAGGTCATCCATATGTTAAGTTCAAACTCACTGTAGTCTGACGCTGCAGGTTGATCAATCCCATTGTCTAAGGGCTTTCAAAATTCCTGCAGGGCAAAGGAGCACACCTTCAATTTCTTTCTCCTCAAAATACCAAGAGGGTCGCCGACAGTGTTCATGAAAACTTGCTGCCGATTCTCGCTATTTATCCAAGCGTTACACACTCGAAAGGTGTTGGAAAGTACGCCATCAGGGAAAACCTCCTTCACGAAATCAAGGTAATTCCATGGAATTCCACTGAAATAAAAGTAAACGAGATTATTCAACTGCGGTCGGAATTCCTTTGAATTTTCCATCATGTTCCATTGATTATCTTGAATTCAGTCAACGTCAAGATACATGAATATCAATTACATTGTACTAATTCAACAAAAATACCACCATCGAAAGACGTCAAAAAGATCAGTGCACCACTATGTACAAACGACTCATCACATATAACTTCAGAAGTAGTGATGTGCTGGCCCGGCTTGGCCTGAAAGCCCCGGCTTTGGCCTGGCCTGGGGTGGCTTGGGCTTTCGAAAATGCCAGGCCCAGCCATGAGCCAAAGCCGCGGCTCGGCTTAGGCCCAACCACAGCTTTTGGAACCAGATAGATTGTAATATCACTAACTAAAGATTCTGTCAGCAGACGCCGCGGATGACTTGTGTATTGCTGGAACTCACGATGAGCCTGAACGATGAACATCATAACCAGTGTGTGCCTCTGTCGGAAGTGATGTGAGATGACAGCCACGCTAGGAACATACAAGAGCCCCGTCACGATACCCAAGCCTAATCCTTGAGAGAGAAATATCTGACTGAGTCAGAAACCGAGATTTGAAAATCAGGGAACATTACCTGGTAGTACTGATCCAGTTTCGACAAAGATAACATGAATAAAGATAAACACTCCAGAAACGATCCGGCAATTATGAGATGGTAACTAGTGAAGCTTGCTGAGTATTGTCAAGAACTTCCAATAGATCTACACTCACAAATACCCTTGGTCAAGAAAATCAAATCCGCGGAGTGGTGACTGAGTCACATGTGTAGGTCACGGTAGCCCGGTATGGACCTGGAAAGAGGACTCATATGTAAGTCAGCAACTTGGCAGCAAGAGAATAGGAACACCCACCCGACTTCCCAAATCACATTCTGTCAGAGGATCAGCGACCTTTTCGGTCAGTGAGGCTCGAACTCGACACAGGATCAACACATTTGAGATTAAGTCCGGATTGAAGAGCTCGAGTTGTTCGGTGTAACGAGTCGGACAGACAACAAAAAGACTCCAAAACGCAAGACAAACTGAATCAGCATTGCCGGAGCTCGAAGGAGGATCGACAGACTCACTTCCTGAGAACGGTGGGCAACGACTTGGATCAGCGTGGCTCGAGCCTGAACGAGAATTGACAGACTGACCTCCATAGCAAAGTTGGCAAATGGTTGCATGCAGTAGAAGAGGGAAGGATGACGTGGCTTCAGTAATGTTGAACGTTGATGCCCAGTGAAAACCCACTGTTCTGAGAATGGCTGAGGTTGCGTGAGATTGTCTAAACTGTGCGACACAATCTCAACAGAAAAATGAGACTAATAGCACATGTGCAAATGTGTGTGATTGTGCCAGATTGTGTGGATGCGAATGTTTGCTAGCGTTTGCTGTTCATGCATGCATACACCCCCGATTGCATCTGATCAGCTGGTATATTAATAGTCTGCAATAGATACAGTACAGGTATGCTACAATAAAATTTAATACTTGTCACATCCCCTCGCGTCCCACAACCATCTGTTCCTGCATCCACTCGTTGGCATCCTGTTCATCTGCTAAAGCGCTCATGATTTTGGCATGACCGAAGTAGGAATCAGTGAGTATATACAGAGTGCAAACCACCACGTACCGCCAACTTCCATCACGAGAAGCGCTGAGATATGCAAAGCAGAAAGTGTTGAGCTCCGAACGATCCAACGAGGAGGTGAGGCCAAATGATCCGAGTAGGTATGAGGGGGAGATAGTAGTCCGAGCGCAAGCCAAATGTGGCCAATGGGCAGTGACGCACTGGCACGTTAATATGAGTTCTTGAATAGAAGCTGAGATCGTACCTTGTGTTTCTAGCTCTCTCTCTCTCCGCTCACTCGCCTGCCTTCGCTAAAGAAAAACCTATCAAATCTTGATTGAATCAGTGTGGTTATATGCGCATGTAGTCAGTCGTATAATGTACCTTTAGCATGTTGCCGTATGTGGCATATTTGCAGTGGCCCAAAGAGCGCGAAAATGACCCCTACTAAGGGAACATTGTGAGATAACGAGGTCGCAAGACATCAGGAGGAGAGTGCTTGTCATACCGTAATTGTACACACCTTTTTCTCCACTGTGACTGCCAACAATATGTGGACTTGAGTGGTGTGTTCTCGTCTCATTCTGGGAGTTTCTGATGAGTGAAAACGGCAAGCACGAAAAGACCTACTACTAGTAACTGAATTCATAAGAATATATGCGCATACAATGATACATTCACGTACCAGTGCCTCTGATTCCGGTACAGAGAGTGTTTGAAGTCTTTCCGTCCAGCGTCGAGATCTTTGTGATCATCATATCCGACGGCGACGACAGAGGTGGTTTGGGTGGTTGGTTGGGGTGGACACTTGGAATGGGTTGAAGGGAAAGATGTTGGTTGGGGTAAAAAGTGGTTGGGGAACTTAGCATTTTCGAATCCGAGTCCTAAATCCGCGGGCCCGGGACTTGGGTAAGCTTCACCGTCAACATCGTGGCAAGTACTGTAAAATGTAAGCAATTTGTTGCATGCAACATGTGATGTGCAGTGACGACACAACCTCACACAATTTCAGGCCAGTGCTATTATTAGCATCAACTTCACCAGCCAATCTCACACAATCTCAAAGGCTTCTCAAATTCACGCACAACCTGGCACAACCTCAGCCATTCTCAGAACAGTGGGTTTTCACTGGGGTTGATGTTGAACCTTCAACGATTTTCAAACAAAAAGTCATGTGAGCCAAACAAAAACAAATATGCGCAAATGTTGGACTTGAGTTGTTGAATTTGTTGCTCACTATATCGTGCCTGTAATGCGGCACTGTCAAGTCTGATGCAGCCTCTATACCCTGTACTACCACATGCCGCGTCACCTACTTCCATATGTTCATGGGATGAGCTTCTCGATCATGGAGATGAGTCATTTGGTGCGTCATTCATTTCTCATTCATGCACATGTACTAACATCTTTTGTCCTCAAGTTTGAATTTCACTTTTGGCACTCCTGTTTCCTTGTCGGCGCCTCTCCGTCCATCCTCCCTGCGCAGATCGTCCATGTTGACCCTTACGAGCTCTTGTGTCAGTTAGTATTATTGATTTGTACTTACTAGTACATGTTTTTAGTTTAGTTTGAATGCATACCCCCTACAACTCATCAAAACCCGTTCAAAGACGGGTAGAGCTCTTGATACGGTTACCAGCGCTATCCCTAGACAAATTTTTGTGACTTTGTGCTAGTTATGTACAATTTTCGAAAAGTTAGAGAGCCTAGGTCAAATTAATGCAATTATTCTATCGTCTGAGCAGTATAATGAAATTTGTTGAAATACCTTCGAATACGAGTAGTTTACCGAATTCCTTGGTTTTTAATGCGAGTTTACTGAATTCCCTGGTTTTTGATGTGAGTTCCTGAAATTACCTTGATTTCGTAAAGGAGCTTTTCCCTGATGGCTCAGCATTGGTGAACAACAACTATATTCACAATTAATGTACCTGTTGGAAAGTATGCTAAGATCAAGTAAGTACGAGGCTCAGAGCAAGATAAACGATACACGTACCTCAGCGTTGGTGAACAACAACTGAGGGATGCAAGCGATGACAAGATGAGATACTTGTAGGGTACAGTAAGACGGAGCTCGAATGTCAAGAAGAAGGTAGCCATACGATGCCAAGCATGAAGCATGTGATATGATGAAGTGGTAAGGTTGCCCAATAGCCAAATGCAATGTTAATCTGTCCGAATGCAGAGGACAACTTATCTCTTCAACAAAAGGAACACCGCATATCCGCCACGTTCCAGAGTTTCTGCTGCGCTGAGACGAAGAATGTTGGAGAATTGCTTTCTGCATTTGGACTAATTGGCATTATATTTGGGGTATAGGGCGCAACCTTGCCACTTCGTCTTTATCCCCATAAGTATCTCATCCCCATTGTGTTTGCATACCTCAGTTGTTGTTCACCAACATCGAGCGTACTTTCTACAGGTTATCAGCCCTGCGTCCTAAACAGCACGGAAACTGGAAAGATATGAACACCCTCTTGTTGGAGCAACTCATTTTCAATTCAAGTCTTCTCTAATGGGTTGCCTCGATAATGGGGAAATACAACCACATATCAGAGTTGACAGGAGCAGACAACTACATTCCCTGGGAGATGCAGGTGCAGCTTGTCTTAACGAACGATGACCTCTGGTGTCATGTGACTGAAAATGCAGTCTCCTACTGATGCCGAGAAGGCAGCCATGCGAGCCTGGCTCATCAATGACTCCAAGGCCAAGACACTTATCCTCTGAACTCGCACCAAGCATTCATCTTCTCATTCCTCACAACACTTCGATCACAGCGTGTGAAGTATGGACAATCCTCAAAGATCACTTCCATCATAACGATGTCAGCTCTTAATTTGTCATTCGCAGGTGTATATATACAGGCACTTCACATGAAAGATGCACACAATGCAAGTACTCAAGTAACTGTGTCAGTCAGCATATCAATTGCCACGATCGTCTCATTGGCACTATATACCTGCTGTAAAGTCTATCTTCGCACGCTCCACAGAAACATCGAGCCCCACCAGTGCGTAGTTCTTCATCAGAGTTCGTTTGATAGATGTGCCGCTGCCTTGGGATGTGATTTATGGTGAAGACTCCATACTAGAGAAGGGGTACAATACTGTGCATGAATGGTACCAAAAGACAGACGGGAAGTGGTTCATGGGCAACACTTTTTTGTGTGTAGACATTATCGTGGCTTGTTGTTTGCTGTGGTTCAAACAAGTTTTAAAGGAGGATAAGTAGGTCAGGATGAGTTCTTAGAATGGAGGGAAATAGGCCCAACTTCTTGCGGATGTTGAGAAGGAGTGCAAATTGGCATAGAAGATTGTGCATACTATAATATTTATTTCAGAGACATTTCAAACAATGATAGGTTCCTTCAACAGGTCAACCCAGGCCACCATCGTAATCACGAAGTGCACACCACATGTCTGGCTTAGGTTAATGTTATGTGGGCCTGGGCCCCCTCACCTGTTCATGGCAGGGTGATACTTAACCGTGTCTAACTATACACAGTACATTTTGTAAGTTTGTCTCGGAGCCACCAACATGAAGCTTTACGAAGCTTAACAGGCACGATGCCTCACTGGTTCTAAAGATCGGGATCTCTCTTGTGATCTCGATGCTACTGGAAATGTTTTTCTCAGGCTTCCAAGAATAGCACTACCACCGGAAAAATCACCAAATTAGAATATTCCAATAATCTCACTATTCCCACATACCTCCCTGGCTCTACTGCTGCACCAGAGCTTTCCTCTTGCTCACTCATGTATATAAGTAGTAGAATGGCATGTACATACATAAAATGATACAATAGACCGCTTTTTTCATTGTCTGAGAGCTTGTACAGCAGTCTACAGTGCTGACTACAATATGTGCATCCCAGGACTAAAACATATTCGCTTTTTTGCCCCTTTAGCAGGGAAGCAATTCTGGCTGTATATATCATATATTAGAGTGTTAATGAATATATTACACCGCTTGTTTGAGCCTCTGTAGTGTCCTACATCAGTAGATATGTTAAATTCATGAAAACCTCTCAAAAAAACATAAACCAGTTCGCATTTTTTAGTGTTGAGGTATATAGGCTGGTGAATATTATTTCTAACATCTCTTTACTAGTATATACATCATATCAAGAGTATAGGTCAGTAGGATCAGTCCCTAGGGTGATATGTATTGTCATCTTCCTGGTGGTTCACTCCCTAAG